TACCTATACATACATAATATGTTCATATACATAATATATATGTATATACGTGTATATGTACAGAGCTTATTTACATGTTTTATGCTGTTATTATTGCTACCTTAACGGTTCACCATGTCGTTGGCAGTGATTTTAATTATTTCTGGCATTCAAGGTGCATTTTGTCATCGCTTAATTTAAGCACAACAATTCAAGAGCAGCAACAACAATAATAACATTTACAACAAGTGTTTTACACCTTTTTGCTCACTGTCACCAAGAAAGCCGCGCAGCTCAGATCCCATGTAACTTACACCTGAGCTCAGTCTCTCGCTCATTCGCTCATTTGCGCCTATGTCGCCGACGCGTCGCGCGACGATGGGCTGTCTTCCAAAGCATTTTACAATAAGTATGTAAATTGTTGCCGCTTTTCGTCGCTTCACAATTACCCAGTTGCTGTTGTCGGCGCCGGCTCTTGGCAATGACGCGTTGTCTGCGGCGAACGATAGAAAGTGGGCGTGCAACTGACACATTTTCATACTCACACTCGTAAGTACAAAAACAAAGCCAACGTTTGTGCACAATCAAACGTAATTCATATATATGTACATACATATTTACATATATGTACATAAATTGGTCCATATAAATATGGAAATCTATAAGTAGTTACTTGGAACAGGCAATTATGTATCTGTGAGGTTACTAAGAAAGTGCAATGAACTATTGGCAATTTAAATTATCCCCAATTTGTCGCTGCTCATACTGGGATTTTGTCCAACATCGCATTGTACGTTTTCCGCTACATCTAAATCGCATAATAAATGCAAAGATTGTCTGAACTTAGAGAAGTTTCCAATGTCTAGAGTCCGCTCAACAAGCTCCATTCCCTTCATCACATATTTATGACCTTCTTCTTCTTCTTCTTTACTGACATAGGCACCGCTTACGCGTTATAGACGAGTCAGCAGCGCGCCATTCCATCTTTTCGCTTCAAAGTCCTCAGCCGTGGCTGACGAATCGCGATTGCGATGACTGTCTCTCTCTGTTTGATCTGGTGGACTGCCAATCCATACGCTTAGCTTGTTTATCCAGTCTGGAGAAAGCAGAACTCACGGCGCCGTTGTTAAAGCCGAAGATGTCGATACCATCAGCTGTACACTCTTATAGAAGATTTTATCTTCTCTATTCAGCTCTAAGAGACCGCACTTTTGATGACGATCTCTGCAAACGCATGACCTTGACTTACTTAAATTTTTATATTATTCATGCAAAGAAGTCTTCAAATTTACACAAAACTCTGAAAGGTAAGCCCAAAATAAGAATCCTCATCCCAACTGGTACGTCGCCTGAGCTCTGCTGCAGAAATATTTGAATGCAACCGAAAAATCCAAGGTCATCATAAGTGTAAAATGCACTCACACCAGAGAAAAGTTGTAACCTTTTTAACTGAAACGAGAATTATTGTTGATGTAAATACCGAGTACCGCTTCATATCACGTCGTTTCACAGCTTCGAGCGTGGGTTTTATGATCACTGCAGTTTGTCATTTGCCATTTGTTTAAATTTTCGTCTTATTTTTATTTATCTATGTAAATGTATGCATAACTTTGTTCATGTGTATGCCTCTATTTTATTCGAACTTACACACAAATTATATGTTTTTCTCATGAGCTTGACCCTGTACTTGAACTTGGCAGTGAATTGCTAAGCTGATTTGCTTGATGATTTTCTTTTTTCTTTTTTCAATCCAAATCAGAGGCATGAATAAATATTTACATATTTAAGGCTTCCTCGCTACCATTTCAGTTATCGAAACTTAGAATGAGATAATTCAAACGAGCGAAATATTCAGGATAATAATAAAAGAATAATTTTCTTTACATTACCGGAATTATAAAAATGAATTTTCACTTGGTTTGGCCTTCGTTCGAGCCCTTGAGTGAGGTATATAGTAAGCACTGTTGGTACAGAGGCAATTATACTTCAAATGATGACTGGGTGATAATAATAATAATAAGCTCAATGGGTGTCCTTCTCTCACCCAACCGACACGAGTACACAAACCGCACGACGGAATTCGCCGAGCCATGAAAAGCAAGATTTTGTTAGGCGTCAAACGGCTCAGCTACAGACAAATGGAGCCATCAGCTGAAATATACGATTGGGTTACTTATTGAGAGAGGTGTGTGTAGTATTTTTCGTTATAAAGAGTTAGTCTGTCAAATCTAATGTGCTGGAATAGCAATTGAAATCTTGCCATACACGGCGACATAGTTCATAGAGCTCAGAAGTTGTTTTACTTGATTTTAATGATCTAAACTGTCGTAATAATCGTATGGGGACACCATTCACCAAAAATAAATTTACTAAATAAATTCCCTACGGAATTAGGAAAGTCTGAAATATTTGTCTTAAAAGTACTAGGTAACATGTTTTCGTATATTCGCATCTTTGGCTACCAGTATGACGTAACATGACGAGTTCCTATACCTAAAGTAAAGAGATCTTCCGCCTCAAGGACAATATCTTATGTCTTTGTTGTTTGCCATTTCGCACTTCAAATTTCCTGAGAAATACACTTTTTGATTGATATTCCCAAAATAAGCTGGAATTGAGATGAATGTCGTTGCGGCCATTTCGTAAGAATTTGGTAATCCATGCGTAAGATTATTGTGCACTGTACATATGTAGCTTGTATGTATGTACACATGTAGATGGTTAGATATGAAAGTTTACCTCCAAAAGTAGATATTAAAGCCACTCAGCGTTGAAACACTTTTGTTACCTGTTTAATTTGGGCGTATTGCCTCTGAAACTGAAACTCTGAAACTAAAAATTATATAAATTCTAAATGGTTTTATGGGGAAAAAGAAAAGAGTTAAACAGATAAAATATTAGAGCATCATGTACGTATGTCACTCATGGAAGTATTATTTTGAAATTATCCGTTTCGCGGTTTTCGTGTTGTTGTTGAGATTCATTTCCGTATATGCCTAACTTTCAGCTAAAACAAAACAAGTTTGGTTTGGCAGTTATCTTTGACAGGAATCAAAAAACAGTCCGTTACTTTCGAAACCACGATATGAATGTCCCTTTATAAAAATTTTGAATAGGATTAATAAATTAAAAATTCCATTATATATTTATAGGGGTGATATTGAAATCGACACAGACATCAATATGTGTTCGAAATGGTGTATAGCATTTTTGATGATAGAAGGATTTTGGGAAATCAGCCTGAAAATAAAGCGCGAAATCGTAATGGAGCAGAGCAATCCGCTGGAGCTGCCAATCGTCGATGTAAATGCAATTTGCATTCTACTTTTCCATTTGTAAATTCATAGACCAATATCGTCTCAACAAAGAAGCCTCTGTAATGGAGCTGGTCATGGAAGACAAGTTAGATAGGTTTTTCATCCTACTTCAACTTGCACCCGCACCGCTGTTACCGGTCTGTGGGACTCAATTATCTCCTTAGCGCGGCATACAGTATCTGTTGTTATAACAGAAATGCTAAAGGCTTCTGAACGTTTCATTTGTCCAGGTTGGATAATTTGAGCACTGAACGACAAGTACCGCATTCCAGACACTGCTGCTTGTAAAATCCTTTGTTCATGACTTCCATTTTTAAATTCCGCTTGCAAAGAAGTTTGCACAGAATTCTATCAACGGTATCTGTAGCACCTAAAAACGACACAAATTCTGCTTCGAAAATGAAACCAATATGCAAATCAATAATCGGAATGTGTAAACCCTTCAACAGAATTTTATCGGTTTCAATTTTGATTCCGACAAAAATCTGTTTCTGTAACACCCCTGATTAATATATATTTTTTAAAATAATAACGAAACGAAAGCGGAAAACAATAACCTGACTAAGCTCGCTAACTAAATTAATTTCTCTCAATGGGAGAGTAAAAGATTTTGCTCGATCGAAATGTCAAAATTGCACTCTCTCTTGTTGTAAATTTTACTCATCGAAACCTCTTCTGTGCAAAGTGGTAACAATTGCTATTGGCCATCAGCTCACCCAGCAAAATTACTATTAGATTAGATAGTGCCGCCCACGAATTCGGGTTGAAAAGTTCCATCCTTAAGTAGCCGTTATTACAACTCGATATAAGTAAAAGGTGTATAAGAGAACCAAAAATATTAATTTAAATTTCTTGCCTCACAAAACAGACAAATTAGCGTCTGATATGAAAAATGAGGCAAAGTGGCACTATCAGCAGGAATATATGAGTAAACCGCCAACTTAGTGCATAAATTTACAATTAAACATACAAATGTATGTTTATGTGTTTGAGTACATAAAGATAAATATCTCAATGGCTCGTTTCCATATCTGATAAATGAGCGCCAATAAATCTGAAATGCATTTTTCGGTTGTTGGTTTTTTGTAATGAAATCCAATTATTTAACTGCAATATAAATACTCGGAATCTCTGAAATAAAGGAATTTTACTATTCCATTTCAATCAGCATAAATACAATACTCTTACAGTTTTTCATTGCGGCAACCATTAACCGCAAATCCATATTGGAACTTATATAATATACTCGTATATAATTGGCGCTTTGTTACCGCCTTCGAGCGGCTGATGTTTTTTTTACTTCATGTCCGAAACACACTCGACGGGGTTGATATTCCCTACCGAAGAGCGACCGCAAGTAGAAAATTTTACTTAATTTTTATTTAAACTAATTTAAACTAATTAATTAACAAGATTGTTGCTTGTATGTAGTTGCTGGGAAAAAGAACCGAAGTTACCATGCATTGGATGTATACATAAATTCATTAAATTCAAATTTTAAGCAAATTAAGTGAAATAAAATTACATTATTTTTTTTTAATGTAGTTTTTATAACCCATTCTTGATGGACGTTGAATTCAATAATTTACTGCCCGTCGAAATTATAACATAAGCCTTATTCGCCTACATACATATGTACTTAATGTATGTACATAATTAGCTCTAAATCATAAATTTGTAATATTTTTTCTTTTGTCGTTGCAGTTGTTAAGTTTCGAATTGCGAATCAACGTCAGCCTTCGAATACACTCACGCACATATGCACGTTCGGACATATCTCCCATGCAGCTGAGTCTTCAATTCCAAACATATCTTGATTTTCAAAAACATAGACTACAGTGAATACTCAAATAAGTAGCAATTTAAGTGTTAAGGAGAAATTAGCTTATTACGATTAATTATTTATTTTATGAGCAACTCAACAATGCGTCTGTTAATTTTCATTTTGGCCTGTTGTAAGTATCACGAAATTGTACAATATATTACCTAAAAAATCGAGTTTAGTGCAACAAATATAACTATTAATTTCATTTCATCATAGGGGCGCCTTACATTAATGCATTGCATGCATCTGCTGCTTCGGCAGGTGTTTCTTTCACCAATGATGCATACGGTCAAATGCAGCATGCACCGAACACACAGTATGCGGCATCAAAGACTCTGCGCAATCGTCGAATGTACGCTATGTGCCCGCCTCATTTCCAGCGTGTAGGCTCGGAATGCTATTCGCTATTACCACAAGCCAGCAGCTGGCTGGAGGCGCATTTTTTCTGTAAAGATAAAAATGCTAAATTGGCGGAACCACAAAATAGAGCAGATCGCAAGTTACGTACTTTCCTGAAGCAATACGATGCACAGAGTGGTTGTAAGTGTTAATTAATATAAAAAATGCTTAAAAAAGGTTTTACATTTGTTTTTAAATTAACTTTAACATTAACATATTTTCTCACAGTAACTGGCCCCATCTGGATTGGCGCCACCTACGATTGGCAAAGTAATGTGTGGCAGTGGAGTATTAGCGGCAAAAATTTAACCTATGACGCCTTCAGTCGCATGGAACCTGAGTAATAACCAGATTTCTATATATATTTTTATTCGTTTTGTACACCTATTTGTGCAAAACTATTTTTAAGATAATTCTTTTCATAAAACATTCGAGATTTTATTAATGAGCGCCTGTTTTGCAGGATCAGACAGAACTTGGAAAATCATTGTGCTGTGTTTGACCCAAATCTAGATTATAGGTAAGCTAAACTTTTTCAGCAATAATTTAAAGATTGCCACCCTCATTCAAACATATTTACTAATAATACTAAATCAAACTGTGAGAATCGTCGACTACCACCTGCATGCCCTTCTGTATCATACTATGTATTAGGACTTTGGAAGTTGCGAGACAATTTTTAATGAACTCTTCGAAGCTGAAAACGGCAAAACCAATCATACAAAAAGGCTTTAGTTCTTAAATTTCTTTCGACAAAGAATGCGGTATTCATTCCACTTCTGATTGAAGCGAAATCATTTAAAAAAAACTTTTGCACTATTCCCTACACCTGCATAAATGCGTAATGACAAATGACACATGTGTGACTTTAATTGCAATGCTCACCACATTTCCACCGGGATCCTGTATTTACGCCAAATGAACTTATAGTTAAATACAAGCAGTTAAGGTGTGAAATTGCGAAAACCTGCCCGACACCTTGAAACACAAATAAAAAATTACAATAACATAATTTAACTAATTGTTTGTGCTTCACCTTCATTGCAATTCAGAAATTCAGTTAGACAATTACTTGGTGTCGAATTTATAATTTAAAAATTTTATTTTATTTTTTCCACCCACAAACAGATGGTCTGCACGTCCCTGTCCGGATAAATTTCGTTTTATATGCCAACACAAAATGCCCAAAGTCAGCGAGAAGAACCGTGGAAAAGTTTATACGCGTTGGAATGCGACCTACCCCAATGAGTATGCAAATGAGGTGATATTGGAGGTGATGGATCAACCAGACAGGAATGGGCACAGGTAAGGGCACATGATATGAATAATATTGTAACTATTTGTAATGCAAAATAGAGCTGAAAATATTGAATGTTAACTGTTTTCATTCCAAAGTTCAAATAGTTTTGGAGCTTCTTCTTTAAAGCACAGATGTAGTTCGCAAATTTATTAACAAACAGAGTTAAGTCGGATATTGAGAAGCTTCCTTTACAATAATTGCTTAATTTTTATCTCCCATGCATACAAGCTTAGACCACTGCCGCATTCTCCGCACACCTAGTAACATTATTATCTATTTCTTTGTCATCATCCTCATTTTCATCCCCAGGCAGTTTCACCTTTGCTTCACCTTCCATTGTCTTACTGTTTTGTTCCTCTTCACCAGTCGTTAGATACTGATCCCAATTGGTGAGTCGTTTCTGCACTTCCGCCTCTGATTCAACAACTCTGTAAATTCGAAGAAGGAAATATTAAACTAGACACTGAGAACTTGAACAGTTCTAGACTTACTTGTATTTCGTCTTTCCATCCCAGTGCTCTGCAGTCAGCTTTCGCTGTCCAAAATAACGCCCATGCATCATTTGTATTACGACATCCGCTTCTTCGGGATCGGCCATATTAATTTGTGCGATGCCTTCCGGATGCCGCTGAACATTTAAAGTATAAGTATATTTATTGAAATGTTAAATTGTTTATGTACTATATATGATATCTATACTTACGTCATATATGACCACCTTTCGCACGGTACCACATTTGCCACACTCTTCACGCAGATCGTTCTGATAATCCAATATTAGTTGTACTTCCTTTTCGAAAATGCTTGGCGCGAAGAGGTTTTTGATAATAACCACTTTCTCGTTCTTCGAACGCTCTCCACGCATTTTTTCCGGACGCCAGTCGAATAATCTAAAAAGAAAATCACTCTTTCGTCGGTTCTACTTTCCAAAACTTTTGTTACACATTTTACTGTTTGAATGTTGGATTCTTGGTGGAACCAAAGAATTTCTAGACGGAATATATATCACTTACTTTTCTTTCATTTTCTGCAATTTCTCCTTATCCTTCTTTTTTCGTTTCGGCTTTAAAGCTGGATTATATTCTCCGCGCATCTGGAACTCTGCCCGTTGCACACGAATTTTATTCCCCCTTAGATTATATTCATCTAGAATATTTAAAGCCAATCCCACAGATTCCACCTGCCAAAGATTTATTATTATTATTGAAAAAATAAAATAAAAAGAATCATCAAGTATTTGAAGCGAAGTTTTATAAAACATTTCTATTTTCAGATCCAATGTTGTTGTGAAGGCCGAGGGAAGTGACGAACAAATACTTTTGCCAAAGACGCGCAGTAAGGGTGGTCGCAACCGCGATCGTCAAGGAAGGAGACCCTCTAACCGTCCCATAAGCCGAATGACTACTCTGCATCCGAATGATATCGCTTCTCAAGCCTCTACAAATTCCCCAACGACAGCGGTACCATACAACGAAATAGCCGTGCCAATCACTCGAATGTCCAACGCAACAAATAAAATCATCCGTGTCCAAAGGCCACGTAATCGCGGACAAACTCCCCATGATCGTGTTGTATGGCGTCAAAGGCAAAAGGAGAAACGTCGCTTGCAACGTAAAAGAGAACGTAGCCAACGCATGCAACAGGAGAAGGAACAACGTTTGGCCGAACAACGTCGACTTTTGCAAGAGAATCAGCAGCGATTGCAGCAAGAGCGTGAGCGTGAGAGACAACAGCAGCAGCAGCAGCAGCAACAGGAACAAGAACAAGAGCAGCAGGATCAGCAACAAAAATCACACGAACAAACCGAGCAGCCACCCAAACGAGAGTTGGATGAATTGCGACAACGCGAGGCGATCGATCAAGAGCGCCAACGACAGCAACAAATACAGCAAGCCGAAGCTGACACCAAGCGACGCGAATATGAGGAACATCACCGTGAATTGGAAGCGTTGAAGAAACAACTTGCTGAAGAAAAGCAACGACGCGAAGATGAATACACAAGTGCAGAGCGCATAAGACAGGAACGTATAGGTCGTCAGCGAGATCGTGAAGAAAAAGAACGCCGGGAGCGTAAAGAGGCTCTACGCAAAGCGGAGGAAGAGCGTGCCAAAGAGGAGGCCAAACGTGAAAAAGAACGATTAGAAATGGAGAAACGTCAACGTGAAGAATACGAAGAACGTTTGAAGCAAGCGCAGGATGAACGTGAACGCCAACTGCACGAACAGCAGGAACGCAAGCGTCTGGAAGATGAAGCCAACCGTCTTCGCCTCGAAGAAGAAGAGAAACAGCGACAAGAAGAGATTAAGCGACAACTTGAAGAGGAAGAAAAACGACTAGAGCTGCAGCGACTAGAAGAAACGCGTAAGCTTGAGCGGCAAGAATTAGACCGACTTGCGGAAGAAAACCGACGCCGTAAAGAATTGATACTCAAACGTCAAGAGGAGATCGCACGACGAGAAGAGGAAGAACGTAACATCTTAGAAGAAGAGGAACGTATAAAGAAGGAACTCGAAGAAACGGAGAAACGCCACAAAGAGGAACACGAAGCGCAAATAAGGCAGGAAGAAGAGGCGCTAAAAGCACGCGAAGAAGCGGAACGAAGAGCCACTGAGGAAGCGGAACGCCTTCGCCAAGAACGCTACGAAGCGTTGAAAAAGCAAGAAGATGAACGTATACGGCTAGAAAAGAAACGCCAATATGCAGAAAGACTTTCTCGGCTCTCACCCGAAGATCAACGTAAGTTCTTTGAGATGCGTAAACGACGAAAGTCCAAGAAAACTCAGGAGCAGCTGAAGCAGAAGCTCGCTGGCGGTAACGAAGCTTTCGTGGAGGAATAGAGTGGCAGTGAGAGGAAATTCATCAGAAGAAAGGATATTAGAATTTAGTGAGATGTAGCGAAAAAAGCTGAGAAACTGTTAAAGCGGTTTTCCCATTAAGTTTGAAAATATGTGAACAAAGACCGCTAAGCGACTGTATTATTTTCCTTATCCTAAAAGAGAAACCTCGTTCAAAAATAATTACTAAAATAAGTCAATATATTATATATATATAATTTTTAATTTAAGTCCTTGCTGCCATTATTACTTTTTTAAAATATTAATATTTATAAATGAACTGCTTTTTGCTTCCCATATTTGAAATTCATTTCGATAACGTATAAACGATCGGTTAAGATATCAAATCGATTTAAAATTTTCTTTTAAAAAAGTACCGCAAAATCACTACATAGTATTAGCTTTAATAGCAGGCGAACAGCGATGCAGCGAGGAACTCTACTGCATGGCAGCAGTTCTAGCTACACTCGATTGTATAACTAAAAAAAAATAATATATATAAAACTCATCACTATTTTTTAAGTGTACGATACAACAGACAGCTGAAGAGAATAAAGAAATATATTTTGAAAGAAATTATTCGCAAAAACCCTGTTGTTTGTATATAAACTGTATGCATGTATTGAGGAAAAGAGTTATACCGCGGCGTAACTGTAATTTACAATTTATAAATATAATTTCTATGTAAGAGAAATAGGTTTAATTTCACTTTAGCGATAGAATCATGTGAAAGCACCTCAAAAAATGCATAAAAAAAATAATAAAATAAATGAAAAAATTATGTGTAAAAACGTAAGTTATAAGAAAAATTGTGGTGTGAATACTTCATGAAGATAACACGCCCACAACTCTTACAAATACACATATAAATAAATTGATTACTTAATTAAGTGCTTTTACATACATAAAATTACAAATTTTTGCACTTTACCAATAAAAAGCATATCACGATATTAAAACTCTATAGCGCGCTTCTCTTTTCCCGCACAAAAACAACACAAAAATTATTTTAATACGATGAAATTTTTTAAATTAATTTAATTTTATATGTAAGGCTATGATTTTCGAAGCTCAATGCACATGCAAATACAAATAAAACTACTAATATATATAAGCCTTTTTGTATATTTAAACTGAGAGCAAAAATTAGGTAACTGTAATATTACTTGAATAAGTTCATTACGAAAATTCGTGAAAAATTTTAGCTTTTTAACAAATATTAAATAACAATTTTAAATATTAAATGTTAATAAAGCAATACTGAAACGATACTAACACTACTGTTTTGCATACGTGTACGTTCGTTTGAAGAAATAAAAATAAAAATAAAACTCAAAAAGTTATTGTTAACGAATTCGTACGTAATCATAATATATAATATACAATTTTGTAAATACAAAAAAGTATACATATACAAACCCATACATATGTATATTAAACAAAAACGAATTCGACATGTGCAACTAAAGAACTAATTAGGATTTTCATCTAATTATTACCTCACAGTATGTTTTTCGTCTTGATAATTATTAATAATAAAGCAATGTCAAATGAAGTATATACATATACATACATATATAAAATGAGATCACCCAATGAAAACATATTGCATTCTTCTTAGATGCTTACACACATGCATACCCATGCTAAGTTTAAGGGCTATTATGTAATTCAACACAAATAGAAATATAAAAAATAGTGCACCGTAAACTTACTAACCATAGTTTAACATTAACACGTTAAATAGTCGAAAAAGTAAAATAAAACTTTTGTTGTAAATTCATTTATGTAAGACCGGTATCAATACAGTAAATTATAAAACAATTTCGGAAATTAGCAAACATACATACATATATCAAATTAGAAATACTTACATATGTGAACAAAAACACACAAAACAGATAGAAAGCAACAATAAAGTTTCGAAAACTGCATATGGAAAACACCAGTAAATTAATAGTTCTTATTTCAAAAACAAAAAAATGGGCAGCACCTCATCGAATAATAAGAAATATATTTAAAAAGTATCTGCCCACATCTTTCATATCCGTGTATGCAAAGCGACATTTATTTTCGACGCAGAATCTCTAGAACGGTAAACATGAGAAATTAAGAACAATGACGAAGCTCTTAATGAAGAAAAAACAACAAATGTTCGATAAATGGCGCGAGATTTAAATTATTGTAAAAGTATTATGCATACACGTATATCGAACGTTTTATCCCAAATTCGAAAGATGTATAATAACTGCTGAGTACCTAAAATAGGAATAGACTAGTCATATTTGTTCGAAACATTCTGACCAAGGAGTTGCATTTGCACAAAAGATCATTAACCCTTTCAAACCCAATCTCGCTTCTCACCTTAATATAGTCACACAAGCCATCTCCCTTCAGCTGGCCATCTGCTTCAGCATATAGCTTCAGTTTATGCTTTTGCGTTTGTGGATCGCGCATTATCATGCCACATTTTCCCATCAGCTCAGCGAATTCCTCCATTGTAATGTCCAGCGGCAAGTTAGAAACATAAACTTTTGTATTGTGTTCCGGGTCCAAATCAAACCATTCTAACGAAAGAAAAAAGTTCAAAATGTCACATGATGATCTACAATTTGATTGTACTTACTTGGTGGCTCTTGAGCTTTTCGCTTAACCGCAGCTCCGCCATTAGCACTTGAATTCATTGCTGCTTCCTCGGCGGCTTTTGCCTCTTCGGTCATTCGATGTAATTCCAATTCCTTCAATTTTTGCTCCTCCGCCGCCTTTCGTTTGGCCTCCTCTTCGGCAGCACTAGTGTTATCTATAAAGCCGTAATTCATTTGATAGTGCGCCATGAAGTCATCATCGATTTTCGGAAACCATGCATTTTTATTGGCATCCCAAAAGAATATTGTGCCATCCTTATCTCTATAAATGCGTTGGCCATCTTCATCTATGTCATAGCTCACGCCATCGGATCCGGCCGCTTGTTGTGGTTGCACTTTTGGGATCCACTTCTGCGTCTGACTACACCATTTATAGTGTTCATTTTCGTACGGATTGTCAGCGGTCGCTCTTGCAGCGCCGTCTTTATCGGCGTCGCAAGGCACCCATGCATTTTGTTGTGTACAGAATTTGTAGCGATAATTCGTTTTGGGATCTGTATAGAAGGCGGTGCCGTCCGATTCATACGTCATATATTTAGTGTAGTCGTCCAATGACGCTTTTTCAGCGGGCTCAGATGACTGGGGCGCTGAATGTTTTTCTTTATTTTCTAATGACGTTGAATTTGTTTTACTACTATTAGCATTTTCTTCTTCTTCTTCTTCTTCTGCGTTAGGGACACTTTCATTAGATTGCGTAGCTGCATCTGCACAATCCGTACTAAGTTTGTCATTTCTTAATATTGTTTTCTCAGAACTATTTTCTTCTCCCTTTAACGGAGGAAAAGCTTCCTTGACGTTTTCTGTTGAGGTAGACAAAATCAAGTCTTTCGCAGGTGGTTGTGTTGGTGTATGCGCGGGTGTCGCGGACGCCTCGTTTTGCGATGATTCATTAATTTCTGTCAGGCTAGAGGGTTTTCCGCCCCCTCTTTCCAATTCTTCCCCTTCCTTCATTTTTACGCTGTATTCGTATGCCTAAAAAATGCAGGAAAACAAATTTAAATTGAATAAAACTTTGCTGTATCGAAATGCTTAAATCAACATATTTTAATTCCATTTTTCAATCTGTAAAAAGGGTTGTTCTTGTTGTTCTCTATGTCACCGAGGTCATCTAATGAAAGGCCCAGGAAATGAGCTGTTTCGACGGGATCGGACCAGAGGGAGAGGGGGGTTAGGCGCGTCGGTTTCAGGCATGTAAAAAGATGGTTAGCGTCGTGCGGAAAATACGTTGGGTATGTTGGGGTCGAGCCTGGATAAGTAGGAGTTTAACCTGCAACAGTATCCAGACCTAAGTTGCGGTGGCAACCGAATAGGAGTTGCTTGCACAGCAAAGTGTGAGTGGGTTGGTTTGCGAACGCCTCTTAAGTTTGTTTGCCAATCGTTTTACAAAATCCTACTTCGATATGCCCTCACAGAAGATGAAAAATACATCATACGGGACAGTTAAGCTACCGCATTAATCTGATTCTTAATTGAGACAGTTCTTCGCTCCACATTCAAGAGCTCAGAGTTTTGAAGTCAAGTGAACAAATATTTTTAGAAGCTGTGAAGTACACAACTTCAGATATTCCCATTATTTTATTGATCTACAGAAAATAGTGTCATATACATACGTGTACATACAGACATACAGACATATTATATATATGTATTTGCGCACATTCCTTAGATACGGTTTTTCGCTGACACATTAAGGACAATGTTTCAAAAAAAATATTCTTAAGGTCAAAGTGCAAACGAAAGCGAACTTATGCCACAATATTTATTTTTCCCAGTGCTAATCATCCGTACATTTGTATTCCATTTTCCAAGGGAGAAACACTCTCAACTCAATTCACGTCTAAGTTTAAACACATTGTGTTTGAGTGAAACCCGCGGCACGTTCTAAGAACTGAAGGTCACCACGAATGCTTTTGCACTTCACGACTTCCTGTCTTAGCCTTTGTGGTTTATTTTTAACGTTGGAAATGCGTGCTGATGGAAGTGTTCGCGTGCAAGACGGACGGGAACAAGGGTATGAGAACAGAGTGAGGGGCTGAGAAAGCTTTAGGAAATCTAAATTTAAGCATATACAAATGTCTCACAGCGGCATGCGGGCGAATAATTGAAGCTTTAATATCAATAATTAATAGAAGGCAATGACCAAATGCTTGACAAACTTTGCGTTTTCGTGTGAATGTACGTGTATGCATGTTTATGGAAATGCCTACCGAGAAATTTATTCTTATTTCAGGCAATGGCGTATCGATCGATTCAATGTGATCGAATACACACACAAAACTCTCGAATTCTTATTTGAATGACCCAAAAGGTACCGACGAAGGAAGTATATTTTCAGACTCTTAAGTAAGTTGGCAGTTCGGACAATTTATTTACCTCTTCCATAAATATTTAAGTAGCACAAATTAGGACTAGTGAGTTAGCGATTTTCATTTCGTCTTCGATAAACAAGTCAAAGAAAAAATACAGGCGAACATACATACATACGTGTAGGTGTTGTTGCTTGCATAGTAAATATGTTATACCGGCATAAGCGAGTATCCTTCCATGTAAGCTTAATGTCATAAGCGCCAAATATTGTTTATAGAAGTCAATCAACTCAGGACAGAGGTGAAAGCACTCACTCCGCGTCCTAACCTCATACGAACATATAAAACGCATAAATACACCAACAACTGGACAAAGTTGATATTTCTCAAGACAGGCAAACAGATTACACGTTTCGCCAATAAAACACCTATAAAAAATAGTTCTGAAGTGAAACTGAAACTTTCAGCGGAAAAACTGGTTTCACCACGCGGCTTGAAATCAATTTTTATCTAAGGAAATTTTGAAGTTATGAAGAAGAATGCTAGTGTGTACTCAGGCTTAACTAAAAGAATTTTTCACGGAAATCAAATTATGTGCCACTGGCTTGGCCGGATGATACGAGTACATGGACACTTTGAAACTGCAGAAGCGATTTTCGACCCAGCTCTTCGTCTAATTTGTGGTGTGCGTCTTGCTGTTTTCCAACAAATGGAGGGACCTACAGTTTTATTCTTTTATTGGATTTTTGAGAGGAGCTTTGATGTTTATGTCAGAAATACGCCATGAGAGCTTGACATTCCTTGTCGAGAGCCGACCGCAATTAAAACAAAAAAGAAGAGCTGTCTTCGGACAAGCCGGGGTCTTTATTCCTTTCATGACAAACCAAATCAAATTTCTTTTATTTCATTTTATAAGCTTTCGGTCAAAGCCTCTTATCAGAAAAATCGGTGGGAGCTATATTTAACAGTCGTCTGATTGCGCTAATTTTCAATTTCAATCAACATAGACAGACGTGCATAGCTCAACCGACTCAACTCGTCCCTTTGACCCAATCGGTATAAAATTTGATGGTTTTTTCTATTCTCCTTCGGGTGCTGACAAAGAAGAAAATATTAATTTTCTATAATTCTGGGTTTTAGACGAACCAGAATCTAGGTTGTTCTAAATGGTTTTCCCAACGGCAAGCAAGATTAAAATAGTACTAAAAACCGCTTATTGCTCAGTAGGTGTCACTATGTCAATTCCTAAAAATAATTTGTACAGAAAAGGCAAACTCGTATGGCATTAGATTCAACTCTGGCACTTCCTCGACCTCTCCAACGGCAGACTTCCGATCATTGTATCATAGCAATTTGAGTATGCCCCTGAAATATCTAGGAAATCTAATGAAATGCATGCCAAAGCAATCTACGCACCGTATGGCTAAGGCAATGAATAATTTTAGGCTCATGCATCAAAAGGTTATAAACATAATAATCGCAAAAGAATGTTCAAATGTGTTTGCATGTGTACGCCAAGCACGCATGAGGCGGGTATTTTAATAATAACCAACAGAAGTCGTAACTCTTCTGGACTGCGCGTATTACGATGATAATAGCAGCGCAAGAATGATGATTGATTCTAATTGACCGTATTGGCACTCGCACTTGGCGATGTAAGGCATGAGAAATGCGTTTCTGTTGTTGCATATGAAATATACAAAAGTCGGCGCTCCTGCGGCTATATGGCCACACTTGGACACATATTCACAATGTTGTGCGAAATAATAGCAGCTGGTACGAATTGCTAAAGACAAGGTAACTCTAACGGTATTAGAACTTAGAGAGTTCAATAGAAATTTAGTTAAAATGTTTCAAATAAAGTTTGAAATGAACAACAAATAAAATGCCAAAGAACTCTTGTAATTCTCTATAGATTTATCGAATATTTTCGGGGCACAACTATAACTATAAGATTTAATTACTGTAGAATCGTCTCACTTCTTTCACATATTTAATTAATTTTATTATTGAAAACAGTTAAAAATTAGTTCCTTCAAAGTATTGTCCGTCGGAAGCGACTACATTTTCATCTCTCTGTCAATTTTTGAATACCATCTCTACAAAATGAATCGATCCAATCATTAAGTCATTCGATAATGTTTCGCATCAATGGTACATTTACGATGAGAATTACTTTGATTTGAATACTCTGGAGTGGCATTTGACTCTATTCCTTGAGCCTGAAAACTACTTCCCTCCATTCTAATTTTCACCACGGTAATTATTCACTAGAAAACCATATTTTACATAGAAAAACACAACAGTAAGCTTTAAGAACTGTTAAATCACTTCAAGGTCATAGGAGTATATAAAAAGGGGGTAAAAAATCCCATTCGAATCGAATTATTATGAGTAATTAACGCATTGCCGTCGCGGCTAAATTAAAGTCGCCATAAAATCGTACTTAGCAATAATTGTAGAGCAAATGCAAATGACAGAAGTACACGTAAGACAGAAAAACTGTAAAACAACCCACGAATAATTAGCTAAGAATTTATAGCCAAGAAGTAAATGTAAAAATATTTCAAATAACATTAAGTTAGTCCCTAATTTCTCATCGACTAGGATAATATAAAATATAAAATCTTAATAATGAATTTAAAAAAGTAAACTGGTGGCGGTGCCTTATGGCTTTGAGGATTGGCAAGACGTCAAATTTTCTTAATGCTGTCGTTCCTCCGATTTCGATGATTTTCGGTCACAAGAGAAGCTTTCTATCAACTGTGCAGTGGTGGGTCTTGGAAAAACGCTTGGTGCTCCCTACTTTCGTTTGAAAAACATAAGTACATGCAGCTCTAATAGAAGAAGGAGCTCGGTCGAAAATCGATTCAGCAGTTATAAAGCGCCAATCACATAAAAATAGATTTTTGTTTTATTTAAGCCTCAGAAGCATCGCTTGAATTCAACTGAATTCAACAATAATGGAATAATGAAAGGATAAGTTACCCTAATGCTCTTTGCATTTACTGTACAGCGCGTGTTTTCAAAACACAAATTAATTTATGTATTTTGTGTAACGCCTGGTTTTGCCCCTCTCAAGAAGATTTTTAGTCCGAATTTGTAGAATTAATGTAATTTATTAGACTACTATAACGGTACAATGAACGCGTTGACATATTTTCTCTGGTTCAGCGCAGCCGAAACGAATTAAGTTTTCAGACGAAGGGTTGAGTTATGACGACAATAGTCGACAGTCAGTTGAATCAACGAAAAACGGAAGTTTAGGAGTACACGTACATTATATTTGCTTGCAGGATTTATATTTACCTACAGCTGGACATGACTTAATCAATCATTAAACGCAATCACTCAATCAATATGTATGTCTAAAGCGACGTCATCTCAATGAAAATTAGGAAAAAGTAAAACTAAAAAAGTTAAGAAATTAAAATATGAAATTTATTTAAGTGTGACAAGACAGCAATCACTTCTCTTCGGATAAGTGCTGCCTTACAAGAGCCAAAGCTTTTTAGTTGTCTGCCAAGTGTTTAAAATACTTCCTTTGCTTACAACGGACTTTTTATTACTTCGGAAATGCCCCACACACGATCTAACCTCTCTAAATGTCGCATATAGGGCTCGTATTAGAAGACATAAGGACACATATGGAAGGCCAAAAGAACGAAATAAAATTGGACTTTCCTCCAATCTGCTAAAATTCTATTGAATCGCCCCATTTGTAAAATGAAATTATTTAGAAATTAATAATGACATCCTTTCCAAATATTTTTAGGCTTTGTGGAATGCGTAATTAACGACAGCAGACGAAACACTCCACAAGACTAGTACGCTCCGCAAGTATGCGCAATATAGATATGACTAATAATTGAGACCAAAAAAATAAATGTATAGAGTTATATGTATGTTTAGCTGTGTGTAAGTAAGAACATATTTACATTAGTCGCCCAACAATTGCTAATTATCTTACCCAGAAATCTCTGCGCGCTCAAAGAGGAAAGTCGGCACAGCTGAAAAGAAAAAAGTTTTGAATGGAGTACAGAACACAATATACTCGTACATATGTACATGAAATAGATACAAATGGAAAATCTGTGAAGAATAGACACTAAATATATGTATATGAATACCAGATATGTTTGTCTGAGCATACATACATAGGGAAACGCACATTTGCATTAAGAATGTGTGTTGCAATGCACATACTCGAATGTAATTAAAAAAAAAAAAATAACTTTACCGCTGGTAAGAGAAAAAAAAGCTATACAAAAGACGGCGCACACCACGACGCTCAGCCGAAATGGCAGCACAATTCACACGGCGTCCACTTAACTACTGCCGTTTAACGTTCGGAGAAGTGACCAAACATCGCGCAGTTGTTTTCTATTTTGTTATTGGTTTTGGCGCCAAAGTGCGTGGCAGAAGGTGGTGGTTCGTACGAACGATATCTAACGAAAATAAGGACAAGGAAAAAACCAAAAAGAAAAAAAAACACACGGAACAAATTTTAAGAAGTACACGGGGCAAGTACAAGAACAGTTAATTTCAAATACTAACAACCAGCACTAGCTAGCTGTAAATGAGTGTCCCAATTTCAAAGGAACTCCAACACACACAAACCGAAGTTACACGCTCACATATGTATGTATATGCACACAGGAGAATATTATATGTATTGCATTTTTAATCAGGCCTGCAATTCCTTTTAACCTCATCGCAACAGTTTTACTCAATACATAGACATACATAGTTACATATATACATAGACTTAAATATGTAGCTGATCAAAACTAACAGTTAGCCAAGCCAAGCAGTCACGCTATCCAAACACATACAGCAACAAACAGAAGCAACAGCGAGTCCACCTTGGTCGCCTGGGCGGCTATCCAGTGTCCACTTTCGCAGTGAATTATTTAAAAAAGAAACGAATGTCCAGTCTAGTAGAAACCGTACGGCTGACCACAGCAAAAATCGCTCGTCGCAAGTTTAGTAAACGCTATAAGCAGTCAAAACGCGTCACTCACACTCAAGCAAATAACCGACAAACGTCCCATGGAAAAGTAGGAACATTCAAAAAGAAAAAAAGGAATAAATAAAAGAAATTATCGTTAGTATGGTGTACAAATACAAAGCCGCTGAACGAGAGTAGCAGGCGCACAGTTGTAGTGTTTACTAAGTGAAATTTTATAGTGAAGGCATGCTCGGACGCCTATAAGTATGCTAAGCTAAATTATAATTTTTTAAAAGCGTCGAACTATTTGCCCGGTTTGTGCGGTAACTGCGCATACATATGCTCATATATAACATTTACAACGTTAAAAAATAAAATCGATTCGACGCGTCGTACAGCGGCATTTTTTGCCGTTATTCCCACTGTTTTATTGGTTTTGTGATTTCCGTCGCCGATTTATGGCCGGAAAAATGTTGTGACAAAAGCAGTACGCAGTGGAGAAAAAAAGAAAAATACGCTACAATAAAGAATGTGTTTCTTTCTATTAAAAAAAAAACATTAGCAGAATTTTTATAATAAAAACATTGCTATGCCATTTACCGCTAAACGGTAAAGGTGGTCAACATTAGAAAAATTTATTGTTAAAGAAATCACTTTCGAATATGGATATACCAAGCACTGGCGCCATTTTTACGCTCGGCAAATCGCATTTAGCTGAGAACACGCAGAGTTATTTTTACATTAAAAATGATCCAGTTAAGAGATTAATATCTGGGCCCCATCAGAGTGCGGTCATTTGTGGTAAATGAGCAAAATAATTATGATAACATAAATATATATAAAAACAACAGTTGATAGGTTTTTTAAAAATTTATTTTCCCATGAGTCAGATAAAACCTATTTCTCCCCCCTAAAGTATGCAACACTGCATAGATAAATATTACGTAAAGTTTTTAGTTGAAAACGATTTTGAAGTAGAACAGGAAATTCACATTCAAAAGCGGTTAATAGTTTTTTGATGTGCACCAAATGTACTAATAATCACGTTCCATGAACATATCAAATTTGTGGTATTTCATTTTAGGATTAAATATTAATTTTCATTTCTGAAAAAATGGTTGGAAAGGGGCAATTTTTTGATACATTTTATAAAATAGAACTAAAAAGTATTCAAAATAATCCACCAGAAAATTGTTTTATATGTACAGTGGCTCAATAAAGAACTCGGACATACATTCCACGGTTATTAACATGCAACCTCAAGCTAGATTTTTTTTTAACCAATTGGTATTTAGCATTTTTGTTTTTTACATTTCTATAGGGTATCCAATAAGGATTTAAAAAATACCAATAACAAACAAATTAAATGATTATAGGTCTCCTATACCCTTGATTAAAAAAATAACATGCGGCATGCTAAAATTTTCGCCAAAAAAGAAGTCGGACATCTGGTAATATTACAGTTCCATGGCTTTTGAAAAAGGGTAATCCCACAATTAGTTTGTTTTTGTTCAAAAATACTTATGTATGTAATCAAACGCTTAGAAAAAAATTTCAGTAGGGTTTTTTTTTGGAAAAAAAGGTGAAAAGTTCAAACATCGGTAGACAGCGTGGACAAAGCTCAATTGAAATAGTCATTTCGACCATTAAAGACAATTTCCAGTACTATCAAGACAACGATCCCAAGCATAAAGCACTTGATGTCCGCCTATGGCTGATGTATAACTGTCCTAAAGTGCTTGAAACACCACTTCAATCTCCCCACATTCACGTAATTGAACATCTGTGGGCTCATTTGGAAAATGAACTGAAAATGCTTGTTATTAGATATAAGAAAGACCTAGAAGCCGCTTTTTGGAAGAGTGGGGAAAATAAATTCTTTAACATGCAAGAAGCTAATTGAATCTTTACCAAGAAGACTGAATGCTATCAGAAAAAGTAAAGGCTTGCCGACCAAGTATTTAGAATATTTTGTTTCTCTTGTTTCTCTTTAAATAATATTTTTAAATTCTATCTTTTTTGTTTGAAGTCATATAACTTGGGTGTCCGAGTTCATTTTTGAGCCACTGTTTGTACATATGTATATTCAATTTCAATGTTTTCTTTAAAACATTTCACTTAATTTGGACGTAATCGAACCAAAAGTGAATTTAATATGATTCCCTTTTCAGCACGTTCAAGAACATACATCTCGAGCCATTATAAAGATCACTCTAAATAATACTTTCAACATTTTTCAGTATTTCTAAATTTGTTCTTCTATTTATGTCTCACTACTAATCTAAAAGTGACTCGCTCTAGTGGCTATGAAATAATGTATGTATAAACAAAACTACATACATGTATACTCGTAGACCGAATAAGCAAGAAAACAGTAAAGCAAGTCAAATTTTGTTTAAATTTATTCTTATTCACTTCTGCTGCTGAAGGTTTAAAAAAAAATAATTATAATTTACATATGTTCTTTTTAAATTTGTATTATTGGGTTTATGCACTAGTTCGTGCGGTTTTCTAAGAGAGGGCCTTTTTGGTCTTCATTCAATGCTTCATAAAAAGTGTTACAGTCATCGGATTTAGTTAAAATATGCGCCGTTTTGTTCGATGATCTGTTTCCATCTAGACGGCAACTTCATAATACCTTCCTCGTAGAAGCCCCCCTCCTTATTTGCGAAGAATTCGGACAGCCACTTTTCACAAGCCTCTTTTGGGTTCAACTTCACACCACCAAGGGCATTCGCCATAGACAGGAACAGGTGGTAATCACTTGGCGCTACGTCCGGGTTATATGGTGGATGCGATAAAACCTCCCATTCGAGCTCCCGTAGCTTCTGACGAGTCATCAACGAAGTGTGTGGTCTGGCGTTCCCTTCCTGCTGGCCAATTCTGGACGCTTCTGGTCGATCGCCTGCTTCAAGCGGTCCAGTTGTTCGCAGTAGATGGTAGAATTAAGCGTCTGGCCATATGGGAGCAGCTCATAGTGGATCATTCCCTTCCAATCCCACCAAACACACAGCAAAACCTTCGTGGCCGTCAATCCCGTCTTGGCCACTTTTTGGGACGATTAACCAGCCTTCGACCACGACCGTTTTCGCTTAATATTGTCGTATGTAATCCATTTTTCGTCGCCAGTCACCATCCGCTTCAAGAATGGGTCGAGTTCGTTCCGTTTCAGCAGCATATTGCAGGCGTTGATTCGGTCCAGAAGGTTTTTTTGCGTCAAATTATGCGGCACCCAAACATCAAACTTTTTTTTGTATCCAGCCTTCTGCAGATGGTTCAAAATAGTTTGCGATGTCACGAGATGCCATATGCCGGTCTAACTCGATGTATTCCATGATTTGATCGGTATTTGTCGTCACAGGTCTTCCGCCGTCTGGCTTATCCATGGTGTCGTTTTCACCGGCTCTGAATCGTCGAAATCATTCCTCCGCGATTCGAAGTGATAGAGTACCATCCCCCAAAACACCATTAATCTCACCGAACGTTTCTCTAGCGGATTTGCCTTTAACGAAGGAAAACTTTCAAATAGCGCGAATTTCGGCGTTAGTGAACTCCATGTTTACACGTCTATAACTGTTGAACGCAATATCCAAACTAATCATGCATAGCGTTGTTTTGTAGGTTATGTCAAGACCTTTTAAATTATGTATATTGTTGCCAGATACGAGCGCTTTGTACATAGCCGCGAAATTCAAAAGAAAAAAAAAGCGGAAGGGAGATATTTTACAGCCTAATATTATTGTCATTATGTCATTTGCTTTAGCGTGAACGACAATTCGTTTCATTCACTTGAAAATGTCCAAATTTTTACCAGATAAAGTGTTTTTGCGGGGAGTTCTTCTTCATTACTTTAACATGAATAAAAGTGCTAACGAAAGCCATCGTATTTTACTGGACGTTTATGGTGACCATGCTTTAGCCGAACGAACATGCCAAAAGTGATTTGCACAGTTTAAAAGTTACAATTTCGACTTAGACGACGGAGAACGAACCGAACAGCCAAAATATTTCAACGAAGAATTGGAGGCATTGCTCGACGCAGATGCATGCCAGACGCAAGGAGAGCTTACAAAACTATTAGGAGTTGATCAAGCAACCGTTTCCAGACGATTAAAATCATTAGAATTCATCCAGAAGCTTGGAAATGGGGTGCCTTATGAATTAAAGCCAAGAGACGTCGAACGCCGATTCTGCATGTCGGAAATGTTGCTTCAACGCCAGCAAAAGAAGTCATTTTTGCATCAGATTGTCACTGGCAATGAAAAATGGATTCATTATGATAACCCAGAGCGCAAGAGATCATATGTGAAACCCGGCCAACCATCGACATCCACGGCAGAGCCGAATATCGATGGTGCCAGGGTTATGCTATGTATTTGGTGGGACCACAAGGGTGTGCTCTATTATGAGATATTAAAAATGGGTCAGTCGATCAATGGTGGCCTCTACCGAAAACAATTGATTCGTTTGAAAAAGGCCATCGTGGGAAAACGACCAGAATATGCGACCAGACACGAATCAATAAATTTTCATCATTACAACGCTCGGCCACATGCTGCAAGGCCAGTTAAAAACTATTTGAAAAACTGTGGTTGGGAAGTTCGACCACACCCGCATTATAGCCCAGACATAGAACCTTTCGTTTACCGCTGTACGCTTCACTTCAGAACAGGATATTAGAAATTTGCTCGATTCTTTCTTGACCTCCAAGCCGGAGAAGTTCTTTTGAGATGGGATCCACAAACTGCCAGAAAGATGGGCAAACATCGTAGCTTCCGATGGGCAACGCTTTGAACATTAAATGCATAAAACTTTTTTCACAATAAAGTTTTCATTTTCGAAAAAACAACCGCACGAATTAATGCATACACCCATTTATCGTTTTTATAACGGTTTCTATACGGCACGCCTTCAACCAAATTTTTCAAAATTTATCTGAATATAAGATTCCAACCCTTTGAGCATTCGTTTCCAAAAGTCCTCCAAGTCAGGCTATTGCCAAAACCCTCTTTTCGCTATTTTCATAAATTTTGGGTTGAAGGCAGAACTTCGGGCAAGCCACTTCGCCAACTGAAAACTTTGGTCAGCCAGCCATTTTGGACGGCTTCCGATCTTCATACTGTTGAAGCTTTAATCTATTAAGATAGTGGACTTTGTTACGCCATCTAGTTTGAGTAGAGTCCCAATATTCTATTAGCAGAAGTTGCTACAAGTCATTACACTGCCTCCGCCGTGATATACGGTCTGCTTCACATTGCGTCTTTTGATGGATTCTTCGAGCTTTTGATTCATTTGATTCATCTGAGCAAATTTCTCACTTCCAGTCATCGGCTCATACCTTTGTTAAAGATCAAAGAAGCCTTCTTGTTTTTGACATCATAGTTCCAGCCTCTGCAGCTGTTAAAAGTCAAGAGTGGCCCTCAGAAGTGTTTTCTGCTGAAATATTATATTACGCCTTTTTCTGACTCGTAAGACCAGTGACTGACTGATTTTAGTTGCTGTGGTTATTAAGCAGGACGAACCGCCTTTCATATCATAGTAAGGCTTACAATTGAAATTTCTACTTTGCACTATTTCCGATAAATAGTGAAAATGAAAAGAAAATAAAATTCGAAAAGTAAACTTTCCGTTTTGAATCTTCTGCAAAAGTGGTGATTCGAAGTTACCTTTTAATTTATCTCGGAATTGAAATTTACAAAAATGTCACTCATACGCAGGGGCGCTCTGAAGTATGCTCCAAAATACAATACAGCAGTGGCAGCTGGCAGGGCTGCTCAGCTTAGCCCTAATATTAAATTCACTGCCATTGCCTTTATTGCAGCAAACATCACACAGCTGCTTTAATCTGCAAATCCAACTTCTCTTTGAGTTTTGCATATGCTTTTCGTGCTTGCTCGGTATTCGTACAAATTCTTTGTGCTCTGTATCTTTTGTACACATAGTGCAACTGTATTAAATTTAGCATCAATATTTCTTCTTTCATCAGCGAAACCATTTTAATAACACTTTTTATATGTGTAAAATATATTTCTTTTATAAAGCTTTGTAAATGTTAAACAATGTAAGAAAAGAAGAAGGGTGTCAAATAAAGCAGTCACTGCCACTGCCACGGCGTTATTGTATTTGTATTTTGGGCTTATGGCACACGTTAAAGCTACCTTGTGACAACCAATATATAATTTAAATAAATAGATTCATTAGGGTTTCAGTTAAGATGTAATTTATTGAAATGTAAAAATTTAATTTTTCTTTGACCCCCGAAATTTAGGCAAGGTTATATAGAAATGTGTACAATTTAGAGCAATCCCAAAATACTTTTGAACAATAAACAAAAATAATTAGGCATCTAATTAAGTCTAATATTTAATAGCATTTTTTTTAATTAGTATATTATTAGTGTATTAGTTTATAGCGAACTTTGGTTAACGAGGTGTGGCAATTAAGTAAAGAGACTGATTATATTGCCGCTATTGTTCTGGCCCTGCGACCTTGAAATTCCCTTTCTCTTCTCCCGGCATCTTTCTCTTCTCCATTGATATATTTGCTATCGCTCTAGCCAAAAAAAGGTCGCATGAGCAAGTGGAAAGTGAAAACAATGATTATTGCCTTTTTTGTTAGCCGTATAAACGTCCACAAACAATTTCTCCCACCGGGACAAACCTTAAATCAAGTCTGTTATCGCCAAGTACTCGAAAGATTGGGAAAACTAGTCGCTCGTAACTGGATCCTTCATCACGACAACGCGCCGTGCAACACCGCCCACAAAGGGTCCCAGTATTTGGTCTCTAAAGGGATCGCCGTGTTGCAAACACCGCCTTATTCGGCGGATATGTCACCCTGTGATTTTTTCGTTTCCTAGAATAAAATCGGTGGTCTAAGGGACCGATTTTGAGTCAATTGAGGACATCCAGACGGCCGTGAGGAGGGTACTAGCGGACGTCACGGTCGACGCGTTCAGGAAATGTTACAAAGCATGGAGAACACGCTGGAATCGTTGTATAGCTGCCCAAGGAGACCACTTTGAAGGAGATGACAGAGCTGCAGAATTATTTTGAAATATACGGTTTTTATGGAATCAATCTCTAATTTTCACACTATGTTCCAATTCAAAGAATATCTGTTGTTCATATAAAATGTATGTATTTAATAGCTATATTATTTAAGAAAAATAATTGCTTTTCTTAATTGCTTATAATAAATAACTTTCAAAACTTGCGTAGATATTCAAAAGAATAGCTAATGATTTATTCATTCGTATATGTGTCCGCACATCTTCTAATATAATAAAATCCCATACCCATACGTATACCATCACAAATAAGCAACTTTTGATGAGTAGCAAAAAAAAATATAAATAAAAATAAAAATAAAAATATTACATTAATTCACTTATTGTCTCGATTACAGAAAGTGGGCGGCTATTTGTTTGGGGTGAAAATGAATATGGACAGCTGGGTATTGGCAGTCAAATGGCTGCAGTTAACAATAACAACAACAAAAATTCCATTGACACCAAAAAAACAACAAACCCCGATATAATTACTAAACCAACATGTGTGAAGTCATTAAAGACATTAGGTTTGAAAATAGCGGATATCGCTTACGGCAGTGATTGGTCTATAATACTGACTCGTAAGCAAACAATTTTCGACTTTCGATGATAAAACAAGAGAGTATTATTCATTAAATTGTATCTCTTAGATTCAAATGAGTTATTCTTCACCGGACGCAATATTTTCCCAACTTGCTCAAATGTGGCGCGCAACTTCGTGAAGGCCACCGTGGCGGATGAGCAATGTGAAATCATACGAAAACCATTCCGACTTGAAGAGTTGGACGATTGTCTGGCCAAAAATGAGGACGCCGAGTGTTTTGCAAGTGTCTTAGCGGGCAATGATCATTTTGTGCTAATGACTAGTAAGGTTTTTTTTTTTAATATTTAAGAGTATTGAAAGATTTCGCAAAATTACTTTACTTTTATTTTGAACATTCCATTTCGGACTATCATTTCAAAATTGTTAAATAAAAAAGTAATATAACATATCTTTTATTCTAATACATATTCAGCTTTTGGCCGCCTCATTGCCTGGGGTTCCAATCAGAATTGCCAACTGGGCTTACCCAATGCGCTTTCATGCCAAAAGCCACACGAAATAGATCTCGGTGCGCCGGTTCAACAATTTGTTTGCGGGCCGGAGTCAACGCTGGTGCTTACTACAACCGGCAAACTATACTTTACTGGTCACCTAAACGAATTTGTCTTTTCGCAATTCACGGAATTACAACAAAATCTAGCGCCAACAGAGCAAATTATATTTATGCATATTTCTAGGACCAATGAAATATTTATAGTAACCAATTCAGGCAGCATTTACCGCAGCATGGAGTCAGTGCGTTCGAAAAGTTTAATATTTCAGCGATTTTACGATTATGATAGTGAAGAAAATGGACCGATATGGAAATTGTTGAAGGGATTTTCCTTCTATGCTGTTCTAACGAAGGCAAACAAATTTTATACGACATTTTCGGAGAGCGGTCATCATCTAAAAACGTTTCGTGAAATTTCTAAATTCAAAAATTTGCGTTTACTCGATATGGCAGTGGGTAATAAGCATATTTTAGTGCATGGCATACCGCGTTCTTCAACTATGTTGACTAGTGCAGGACCGGGATCAGAACCGCACCGATTTGCTAGCCGCACTTTTGTAATGCCATCGACGGTGATGAATGGTTCCGCAAAAACTCGAAGTCGAGAAAGCAGCGCCGCGAGTGTTAAGGCTAAAGATATTGGAATCGTTGAGGCTACAGACAAGAAAATGACGGATGTGAGCAGTAATGTAATGGCGAATGGAGAAGGTCTGGAAAAAACTAAATCGGAAGCAGAAGAAAGAAAAAATAGTTCCGAGTCCATATTGAATGGAAATGTGTCTGACTCGAAGCCCTCATATGTTGATCAAGAAAACTTCTACAGTCCATCTGAACACCAAACAAAAGTCAACGGCCAAAAGCAGACAGAGGGAGCGGTACAGAACACGCTTGAATCTTCAAATTACGCCGGCACTGAGTTGAGCAATAGTGAGCCCATAAAAGATGCGAAACTTGTTACAGTTGGCACAGCTGCTTTAATACATAATTCAGTTAACTCACCAGTGAATTCAATAAAATCTATAAGATCAAGCAAATCTGGTCACTCTGTAAAATTTTCCCCTACTGCAGTGAATAAAAAAACATCACCTGCAACCGATAAACTTCTACGACCACACACTCCTTACCCAGAAAGCAACACAACTGGCAGCACTCCAACGACGATAAAGAAGACACCGTTACGCAACTTCTCTTATGAAGCAGCTATGGACCATGATCACATTGATAGCACATCGCCCGCCTTAATGGATAGTTTGGAGAATATATCTGAGAGCGGCGAAGTCGAAAGCGCGGATAAAACCGGTAAGTAAATAATATTTATTGCAAAACTCATAATATAACATAAATCTCTGCTTGACCATTTTAAAAGCATTTGCCTCAACTTCTGCTCTACCTATTGAAGAGGACGAGCAGTTAACAGTGGAAATTAACACAACAACCGATCCTCTAAATAGCACCATTGTTGTTAATGAAATACGATTTATAAACAACGGTGTCGACGTGACAGACAATGTTAAAGCAGCGTCGCTAGAAAGAGAAGACACCGAAAGCTCACTCGACTCGTTAGATGACCATGCTCACAACATTACAAGTAAGACCAATGAAGCTTTAAGCAAATCAAATAACAACCAACTTGCAGATGATGAGGAGGCCAGCAGCAGCAGAGAAGGAATTAAAACGAAATTAAAGGAAATAGAAACAGATGTAACCGTCATGAGTAGTAAATTAAAAACCAAAATAAATGAAGCTGATGCTGAAGTGAAAAGCTTTGTCAGAACAAAGGCATCAAACGTTAATGAAGTTAAAATTGACGTTAAAAAAGAACTCTCCACACCAGCTGAAGATATCATACATGCTGCATCAGAAATACAAGATGAATACTCAACTCAACGCGAACATATGAATCAAAATTTTACAACAACAAAAACGGAGCTTACGTCCAAAGTTGAAGAAGCAAACGAGACTTTAACCGATAAAGTGGATAACACTGCCAAAAAGGCAGCCAATGCAGCTACCGAGGCAAGAGATTCCTTGGAAACAGCAGCGAAACGTGCTGCTGCAGGTGCACGTGATGCCGTCGAGACGGTTGGTGAGAATTCCAAACGTGTAGCGAATGATACAATGAGTGCGATGGAAAGTATTGGAAACAGCGCTAAAAGAGTTGCAACTGGTGCTAAAAATGCCGTTGGCAATGCATTTATAAAAATGTCTGATGGTACAAAAGATGCTGTCGACTCGGTGGCCGCCAAAATTGTCAACGAAGTACAGGGTGCTAAAGAAAATATGAATACAATGTTTCAAAGTAAGCACCTTAAGCCAACATCCATTGAGGAAGATGCAGTGTCATCAGCATCGGAAGCTGCATCTAAAGGTGGCCCCAAAACCAATACGACCACCACGGGCGAAGACGATGAACGTACAACAGCATCGGTTAATTCAACACAAAATTCTACAGGAAATCCTTTTGAGGGAAGCAATCCTTTTGAAACTTCAAATCCCTTTGAACACGATGAATTTGATGATGTGGTTGAACGTGGTAAGAAGGCGTTACAAGAAGAAGTCAATAAAGTACATCAACAAGTGGCAAATGAAGCGCAGGAAACAGAGAAGGAAACAATGGGTAAAGTGCGCAGATTCTTCAAAGATATGGGTGGAATATCTTGTCGCAATGAAAAATCGACCACCGTTGACGGTTAGTAATTTAATATTTTCTGAAATCACATTAAAATCTTCCAATAACGTCGTTTATTTGCATTGATTTCAGATGAACCACCAAGATATACAGTAGAAGACCAATATCCCACACCGACACATCGCAGCCAAGAACACAATAACACATCAAAAGTTTGCTCAATATTATGAATTCCTTCTAATCATCCCCTTACATACTAAGATATGAACGCATTTGAATTTGTTTACCTGCATAACAGATATACATATGTATAAAATCAATAGAAAATTTCCAACTATAAAAATACTTGCCTACCTTTATTCTTTATAAATACTGGAAGTAAAAAACAATTAAATTCTATAGTATAAAATATACATTTATGTTAACTACTGTCAACTCATATGTTTACCAAAAAAATGAGCGAGGTTGGCTGCGATTCCATTTGGAAATTTGTGAGTGGCAAGGTCACGCAGAAGATGACCCAAGTAGTTTTATGTTTTTTGAACGCTTACGTCATATTGCTTTTGGGCCAAGGAACAAGGAGTTATTGATATGTCGTCATTAACAGGTGATAGTGCTAGAACAAAAGCGAAAAACTTAAATGCGTATCTTCTTCTCAAGAGACTAAATTGTTAACTCGATAGTAAAATCATCTTCAATTTAGTATTTATAAAATAATATATTTGAAAATAGGAATTTCAAGCGGAAAATTAATTATTTTCAATTTGATCTTGTATTTTTATTTTTCTTTGGATATGGTTTGGCACTCGGTATCGCTCACTTCGTCTGATTGGCCATTGCGGCCACCTGTAGTGAATTCGCCTAAGCCAAATTACAAAAGTTTTTACTTAAATGCAAGCCTGTAGTAGTCCGAACAAAACGTGTCGTTAACTTCGTTAAGTTTGAAAACATTAATCTGGCAACAACCGGGTTAACAAACAAATGTCAAAAGGAAAATTGTGTGTCTGGTGCTTGTGAGCGAAGAAAAAAAGCAATTCAATTTTGTAACTTCATATTTTTTTGTACGGAAGCAGAAAGGTTTTCTATTTTTTTGGAAGTTTTCAAATCTTTTATATATGAAGAACATCAGTTTCAAAAGTGCATAAAAAAGGCTTCTTTTATCTTATGAGATATAATAATGGGACTGGCAAGAGTTTTTCAAGTTGAAAAACTAGAAATGATGAATTGAAAAGGGGGGAATTTGGAGTCTATTTTCACTGCATGTCCTCGTCAGTTATTGCAAGAAGGTAGGTCGATATGGACGAATGTTGTATTAATCCTCTAAGTTGTGAAAATTTGTTTGATGGATGTGTAATAATTTTTCGAGTTTAAACGAACTGGTTGCGGTAAGCTCTGATAAATATGAGAGCCGATCGCGTTTTAAAGTAGATGAATGGGGAAATGATTGTGGTCCTAACCTCAAAAAAAGCAAAGTGTTCGTTAGGTGTATTGACAGTAGAAGCAGCGAATATCTTCGATGTGATGTGTGTGCGAGCGTGCATGTTTCTGTATTGCTCCCCAAACGGGGAACGGTCGGTGTGCTGAAAAGGGTAGTGAGCGTGCACCGTGCGGCGAACGTCTAAAGTAAAGTGGTGATGGTCGCATCGACGACGTCAACGGCCGAAGTGGAAAAACTGCTTCACAAATCGGGTTTGTTGAATATATATTCCAATTTTTTCATTTACATTTTCGATTCTCCAAAAAAACGTGATTGTGGCAATAAAGTTGAAAACATGAGGAAAATATCTCCCTCTATTAAAGGGGTCGCGAGACTCTATGAGTATGTTTTTATAATAACTCTTCATACGGTCGCAATGTTATTTCAATTATGTGCACATGGTAGCGAATACAGAGCGCTGGCAAAACTGATTGCTGCAGTAGCGCGCTGAGCGGTTTTAACATTCCATTGAAATTTATGTATGCTTATATTACGATTTACCTTTAAAAATTGTCACCATGATAAAATACCTACAAATCAATTTTTTACAACATTGATCACACCAGAACGCTGATCGTTGGCAGCCACATGGTACTGCATTGCTCTGCGCTGCTAACACCGTCGTCATTGCCTTAATCGCAACGTCTAACCTCGACAATCACCTAAGTAAAAATATTTCATTTATAATTTTTAAAGAGAGAAAAACACGACTGCTACATATGCAAATCATTGTGTTTATTTAGAGGTAAAGTCGAAAATGAGCGTAGCGAAACCTAGAAATGTTAAACAATAATTTTAAAGCTTCGCTACTTTCTGACTCGCTTTCTCAACAACAACGTGGCGAATAGCGAGGCATGAACCAACATGTAGCACATCTGCATCATCGCAGAAATAGTTGCTGGGCTAAATGATGATGGCATTTCGCGGTAATCTAAAAAACTAGCCGGATACGTGGTTGAATCCAACACTCGCTAAGATGCAGTCTTTTAAAATTTAACTATTATTAAAGCAAAAAAGCGCTTTATCTCATCTAGAGTGCTCAGTTATATTTAGTTTTTGGAACATGCATTTTATATATTTAATAAATATAGCATAGAAATGAAAATAATTTCTCTGTAAGATAATAATTAAATATTCTTTTTTTACTCATCGTTTTTCTTTTACAGATTGCATATTCATATCCTCTTGCTGGGTGTTCGATTGTTATGCCACCTGTTTCTATTAGAACTTCACGCAGCCGTCACATGGTATATGTGTGTTTATTTGATAATTAAAATTATCGAATAAACTTCATCCTTTACCTGAGTCTTATATTAAATAAAATTCCAAATAACTATAAAACAACTCGTATTAAAAGACATAGTAATTGGCATTCGTAGCCATTGTACTTTGGTAATTCATACTTGTGGCAGAAAATTCGGCTTTGAATTAAAAGATCAACATAAAAATGCATATTAAAAGCTTACAACATGCTCATGCGGCTTCGGCTGCTATGGGGAATTGTGAGATTGTGATTGTGTCATCGTCGCCGAATAATGCTGCACCGAGCGCAAACAATAACAACAACAATACTACTAACAGTAACAATAATGAGAATAATGCAGGATCCCATCACCAACAGCAGCAGCAGCAGCAGCAACAACAACAACAACATCAGGCGTCGACAACAACCGAAATTCCAATCCCATTCAATATGCATTTGGCAGCTGCCAATTCAGAAGCGCACGTTGCTGCTCAAGCAGCTGCTATGGCAGCGGCACAAGCGGCAGCCGCGCAAGCTGCCGCTGCTGAACAACAAGCGACAGGCGGTAGTAATGGAACTACTACAACAACAATTCTGCAGCAGCACCCGTTGGCACATCTAGTAGCCACAGCCGCACACAGCCCAGCGCTTTCGGATCAACATTTCTCAGCGGGGCGTGAAGTGGTAGCCAATGGACATAGCGGCGGAAGCAGTACGAATGGCGGAGGCGGTGGTGGCAGCGGTAGCGGTGGCGCCAGTAGCGGTAGTAGTGGTGGTGGTCATGAGAAACCTTTCCTTTGCAGTGTGTGCGACCGGCGGTTTCGGCAATTGAGTACGCTCACCAACCACGTGAAAATACATACCGGCGAAAAACCATACAAATGTAATGTTTGTGATAAAACCTTTCGTCAATCGTCCACTTTAACAAATCACCTAAAGATTCATACCGGCGAGAAACCATTTAATTGTACCTATTGTCCGAAGAATTTCCGACAGCTGAGTACTCTAACGAATCATGTAAAAATCCATACTGGTAAGAATACTATATTGAATAAAAATCTGTACAGTTGTAATGATATAAGTAAACCTGTAATCAAATGTGTTTCTTAAAATTTCAGGTGAAAAGCCGTTCGAATGTGCCGTATGTAAGAAACAGTTCCGTCAATCTAGTACCCTAAATAACCATATAAAGATTCACGTTATGGATAAAGTGTACGTACCCGTTAAGATAAAAACGGAGGAAGACGAGGGATGACTAGAGGATATGGTGATCGCAGGCTCCCACCAGCGACCTGCGAATCATCATCGTAATGTGATCACTACGACTATACAAGCTCCAGCAACAACAGCAGTAGCAGTGGCTGCAGCCGCCTCTGCGGCCAATCATCATATACATCAACAGCAGCAACAACAGCAACAGCAACAGCATCAGCAACTACAACATAACCATACAAATAATCCAAACAACGGTAATACGATCATAGCAACTGCAACCGCCGCTGCTCCGTCCAATGCAATCGAACATTTCAATGTAACATCAATTGGTGAATTGTCCAACGTACAGTTGAGCAGTATCAATGCACAGTTAGTTGGTGGTAGTGTTACAGCCGATGGTAATTTAGTGACCATGGGTGGCGTGGTCATCGGGCGTATACATTCGGCTGCATTGCAAAGCAACGGTCATACCCTACAACCACAGCTACGCACGACAGCGCAACCAGCCACCCGCGAAGAACTGCAACAGTTGGGCGTAATAAAGGTAGAGTCGCCAGCCACAGATTACCAAAATGAGGGATGAGTCGAGTACGAATTACTGCTTGAGTATATGCTCAAGGAGGACGAGGAGGACTACGCAGCTGCTTGCAATGAGAATAAAAAAAGCCCCAGTGTTAGTGACGCCGGTAACGATGTAGTGAAGGCGACCAATGTAGTTTGTAGTGATGTAGCTGCCAGTAGTGAAAGTGCTGGTAGTTGCACGCTCACATATACACGTGGCAACACTAAACGTAATTAAAGCTAATCGCAGTTGTTGTTGCTCTTGTTGCTAGTTATTTAAACACAGATGAAGATTGAATGAGTAGAAATGAAGCAAAATAAAAATACCACAAAAATAGCAAAAATAGCCATATGACAATGCAATATGCGCTTATTCCAACCAATGCAAACAAATTCAAAAAAAAAAAAAAAAAATACATGGCACACTTGATCATATGGATATTTACGTGCACATGTAAAATTATCAACTTTTGGTTGGACTGTAATACTTTTCATAACTCAGAATCCACATCTTCAATTTGGACCAATATACATATATACACGTAAATATATAAACAGTTGGAAATAAATCAGTAAAATTATGAAAATCAAAGAAAAATAAAACCTCTGTAGCTGTTAAGAAAAAAAGTAGCAACATACACGATAAGCAAACAAAGAAAGAACTAAGAAAAGTGTAAAACTAAACGTTAACTTAAAAAAATAGAAACATAGTTATGCTAAAATTTTTGGGAGTTAATTAAAACAAAAGAAATTGTAGCAAACATATTCTGGGAAATATTTTGCCGTATTTTGTTGGGTTAAATTTTGTTATGAAGTTGGTTATGAATTCTGATATTTGTGATTTGTAGCTCATCACAGTTAATGCTTTTCTTTACTTTGAGCATATTGTAGACTTAAAAGAGAAATATGTGTCCGGTGAGTGATTCACATTAAATAAGCATAATTTAACAGCTATGTAGTTGCATATTTTGCACCACCACATACATATTTATATATTAGTTAATCCTAAAAAAAGTATGAAAAATATATTACTTAGAAATTATGACAATAAGCGCGGAATAAACAACACTAATATATGTTAGACACGCTTATACAATTTCTGTTCAGAATTTATATCGAAAATCATAACATAGGCAACTCGAAGTTGTGGCGAAATAAATGAAATTTAAATTCATTATAATGTATTTTAGCTTAGTAAGAAATCAGCAAATGAGACTTGTTTTTTACTTAAAACGTAAAGAAGAAGAACAAAAGGAAAATCTATTTTAGTAAAACACTTAATCGAAGTCGAAGTGTAAGTAAATGCTGTATATGATGAAGTCGCTTATGTTTTTATTTTCATTTTTTATTTGCTTAAAACACAAAAGTAATGGTGAAAACTTGTTTGAATTGTTTGAAAAGCAAAAGAACCTTATTAGGGTAAAATTTTAATTTATTGTTTAGTTTAGATTGTAAAGTTAATTGAATTTTTGTAGATATAAAGTTAACATACACACATATTTTTACTATCTTTTGTTGGCTAATGAAATTATTAAAAATTATTTCATACATATGTACATACATTATAAGTACACATGAATTTCGGTGTGCGGAGGCACAGTGAAGAAACGATACAATATGTTTTATTTGAAGATAAGAAAAATGTAAATGAAACTTAAATACAAACAAAATTAACAATTTTTTTAATTTCAATTCTCCGAAACAGCTCAAAGTTGTTGATTTATATTCAAAGAATAAAATTCATTCATGGTTTGAGAATTTCAATAAAGCTGAAAGTAATTAAGTTATTTAATTTCGAAAATTTGCTTATTAAAATTTTCTTATGCACACTGCAATATTTACAAATTTAAACGGTATAATCAATCTGGTGAAAAATATTTAATTTTCTAAAACATACATACGTATTTCCATTGATATGTATGTGTTTGTAACATAGTTGGATTTTCTTTAAAAAAAAAAATAAAAAAAATAAAATAAAAACTAAACAAATAAATACGCTTTTGTTCAAAAGAACCAATATCATCACCTTTGGGCCTATATAATGTATTACTTAATGTTTTCGTTAAATGACAAGAAATGCTGTGCACTTTAAAAGTCTTCGCGCATGCGGCATATGTAAACGACTTAATTGGTTGTACGTATGGAAGTAGTTGCCGAATCGAGCCGCGCCATACAAAACAATTAAAAGGAGTGTCCAGCGCTTTAAATGCAAACAAAAATCGAACTATTCCGAAGAATATTGTATTGAATTAGTTACAAGAAATAAATGATACATGTGTGTATTTTGGGAATACTTAGTATGAATCAAACAAAGTCTGTAATAAAGTAAAAGGGAGAGAATAAATTTATGAAATCAATATGTTTAACAATTAAAAAATTAAAATCGCAAACAAAACTATGTATGAGTGTTGTAAGAGCAGCGAGCAGTTGTGTGTTGGGCATTTTTAAAGAAGAAAAAAGCCAAAACAAATAAAATGCTTAGAACACAGCACGCTGGCTCCCTCTACACATATGAATAGTTATAATGTAGTGAAGAGGAAAGACTCGTAATTTCATGTTTGTATTGAAAAACTCTGAAATTACGTTTAGTGCTTAGTTGCTACTTCCTTTGACTTTGTGATCGTCAATAGGGTTGGAATACAACTGAAAACTTGAAACTGATAATAATAAATTAATTAATATTAATAAATCTATTTTATTTAATGTAGTAAACGAATAGAAGAGCTTAAAACTAGCACTATGTTGCCGAAAAAATGTTTTCCTTTAATTTTGTAAAAAAAAATAAAAGATACAATAAGCGTTACTTTAGACAATTACTTGTGAAAATACATAATTACACATTTGTTTTAAGTATCGAAATAGTATGTTAATACTTTTCAATTGTAAACAAAAGTTACTTTTGAGACTATATAAAAAAGCTACATGAAAAATATTGCACATTTTATGCGTTTTCGTTTATTTATTCTATTTATATAGAAATTATTATATCAGTTTATATTGGATTTCGATTTTTTCTTTATTTTTGAATGAATTGATCTATATGTACACGTATACACCTAGGGAAGGCAATTTTGCTTAGCTTCTCAAACGTTCTTCAACTGGTATAATTCAGGCATGAGTATTAACAACTCATTCTTTTTTGATTTTATATACATATGATTATCCCAACCTAAAGGTACAACTGTAACGAGAGGATTCAGGAGAGTTAAAAACGCTGTCGAAAATATATGAATTGAACTGGAAGACCTGATAATATGCTCGAGCCACTCTGAGCCAGTCTTATAATTTTGGACTTTACCTAAAGAGTTGAGATTATTTCAAATGTCATCAGATAATCATTTTGAATAACCACATCACAGTCACTAATATAATTTGTGTTTTGTTTTTTAGAAAAATTATTTGCAACCATTTCACAGAATATGTACACACACAGCAAGTATGTATGTCATTATTTGTAAAAATAACTATAAAAACAAACAAAACCTAACTCGAAGTATACGAAAGTAATGTAGTTTAAACAAAATGCTTATGTAAACAGCTTTTAATAATAAAAAAAAATTATTTAAATAATTTAAAAAAAGAAGCATGTGAATAATTATATATACCTGCTTATATATTCAATATACATATATGTATATACATACATATATAAATAGATACAGGAATAATCACTCAAGTGTGCTGTTAAAAATTGCGCAAAATTTATAATTCAAAGATGTTAGTGCTATTTTAGATACAAAAGAGAAAACTATAAATAAAAATGTCAAAGCCTTTCATTTGAGGTTTAGGAGAAAGCATAAAAGAGAAAAAAGCTCATTTAAAGATTAGAAATACAAAAAAATTTACTAAACATTGGGTGGCATTGGTGAGTGAGTTATTAGAAGAATTAAAAAATATGTTAAGGGAAAGTTCGCGTGATATTAGTGCTTTTTTCAATATTGAAAACTTTGTCTATAAGTTACAGTTACTTTTTCCGTTACTATTATTTTTGGTTCGAATTTTTTTCTATTTCAATAATATAAATAATTACTTCTTTAATGTATGTGCTATGTACATACATACATATGTATGAACTTTGTTTTTTACATTTCTTTCTCTCTTCGCCATGAAACCTCCTACTTGAAAGTATCAACTTTATTTTATTTATGAAAAACTAAAATGTGTTTAAAAGTAAAATGTAATACATAGTTTACGCATTTAGAATTTATACAAAAACTAACGGGAAGGAAATGCATACATACATAAAAAATAAAACAATGGCCTAATTAGGATATAGGGAAGATGATATAGCATACATGCATATTAGTATAAGTGTACATACATTCAATTTATTAGTAATAGCCATGCATCGCTTCATATGTATGCAAACACATATTTATATATGTATGTATGTTAAGGTGTTACGCATATGCAACGGTAAATACAAATAGCTGATAAATGTACTCATAACTGTATAAATGTGCTAGTTTTGATTATATAAATCACAAAAGGTGTTGTATTATATTATATATAGAGCGAAACGGAAAATGGAAAGTGACAACGCTTTGTGAAGGTAAAATGTAGTATGTAAAGTGTAATAAAAAATAAGCAAAGTGATAGTTGGAAAAGCACTTCCAATTAGATGTGAACAGGTTAATTAATTGAAAACATAACAGCATAAATTAGGTATGCAAAAAAAAAAAAAAAATTGCTGTAGCAACGGTTTTAAATGTAGTAGGAAAATTACACGCCTACAAAGCAAGTACTAAAATAATCAAGTTAAAATAAATCATTTAAAGAAGGCAATTAAAAGAGAAAACTATTCAGGTAGGTAAATCCACACAAATTCGTGAAAATAATATTGCCACTTTTCGTAGGAGAATTATAAAATAATGCTAAATAGTATTAAAATGTAGGTAATTTTAATTTTCTTTAGACGAAAATTTGTTGATTTTGCTCTTGACTATTTGGATAAAGGTATGGTTAGGCTCGATTTCAATTTTTCTTGGTATTTAACTTACTTCTGAAAAACATATTTATGAAATAATGTTTTTTGGCCTGTAATGAAAAAAAGTTCAATAATTTATGAATTCCTCTTTAAAGTAGATTTATTAATTGGGGTTACAAATATACATATGTGTCCCTATGTTTCATTATTTTGTTTTAAAAAATTATATATTTATATTAGGAACACCAGATGTCTATAATTTAAGGAAAGTTGTCGATTATGTCTCAGTAAACTGTGCATCTGCATACATATTAATAATGTAATCTGCTCATTTGCATCTTTATGGCTTATGAGATGTGTGTACATACATACATATATCCATAACAGAATAATTAAAAAAAAAAAAACTAATACGAATTTACAAGAGCAAATAATTTATGAATGAAGAAGTGTCTAAAATAAAAGTTTGTTTTAGATTAAGTGTCTATTTTTTAATGAAAATATATGCTTATTCTTTGTTTGTTAGCTTCTATATAGGTAGCAGGGTAAGTTAGTAATTAAAATGGATATTGTATTGAATACAGCACCTAACTAAAAAAAAAGAAAAAGACAGAAAGTGTTATACTCATTAAATGTGTATGTATATGATTAGTAAGCGATATAAATTAATTATAACAAAATAAAATAAATATGTTTTAAGCGCAGAAAGTGTACAAAAGTTGTCATAAAATCAAAACTTATTTTTCGTGTGTTTATTTTGCTAAATTTATAAAAAAATATACATAACTGTATGGCATATAATTTTATGTGTAAATCACATTAAAGAGGTAAGTAAATAAAAGAGATATAATTTGAATTTAGAGTATATGTAATAACAAAGTAATGTAATGAAGCCTCAAAACTTGAGGCTAGCATTCCAGCTTCTTAATTCTCTTTGAAGTCAATTAGAAATTCTTGCCAAGCACTCAAGTTTACCTCGGGATGTGCTATACTTTGCTCGGCAACTTTTTGCTGTAATGCATTTAAATATTTAAAATCGGTACGATATTTTGTACGCAAATCCTGATCAATGCAAATATCCATAAGTGGCAAATCAATAACGGGTTTTGCAACACGCACTGTCTTACGTAATTTATTTTCCAGCAATTGGATTTCATTTTCCATGCGTGCCAAATTCAGAAGGCCACCGTAAGCGATTGGCGTATGATGTACTGAATGCGTGGTAATCTTCAAGCTGCTTATACTACTTTTATTTAAAATTATATTCATAAACTCCTTAGAAGCATACCACTCACAATAGGCTTTGAGAGCTTCTAATAGCAGTGATAGGTGTTGTTCACAGGAGATTTCATCGACAACATCATCATTTTCGCCTGCAGCCGCTTGTAAGTCAGCTTGTTTTTTATGCTTTAGCCAACGCTTCTTACGCATATAATGGAAAACTTTTTCAGGAGAAAAGTCTTCACCGTATAGAAAGCCAAACATTTGTAAAAACAGATCGATGAACGTGTAACGAACGTAGGGTATGCGGAGTACATTAATAGCGCGGATATAATTCTCAATAGAAGAGTTCAAATTGCGATCTGTAGACGAAAATGAAGGTATAATTATTGATATATGCACATGTGTAAGTGGTATAAGTATTAAACATTATTTGCCTTTAAATTTCCTGAAGAAATCTAGTATAAGTTGTTTGGTGTTTGGACCGAGTCGTGGAAATTTTACACCCAAAACGGTGTGTTCTATGTCAGCTGTATTACTTATTACCATTAAAAGTGATATATAGCGCTGTCAACAAGAATGGAATTTTAAAAGCTGATATAAATATTAACAGCTTAGAAATATGTACCTCGAGAATTTTTAAGTAGTTCAAATTCAGTCCCTTATTAACAGCTAGTGCGAAAAGGAGAAACAATTGTCGGCCTAGAGCGCTCAAATGCGCTTCTTCAGACATACCGAGTACAAAAACCGCCAGCGGTCGGCTGTCATTATAAAATAACCAACTTTTGTTCTTTCGATAATGATGCAACATCCACATAGCGTAATCACTTTCAAGAATTTGCAAAATAAGTCGCAATACTATGAAAAGGCGTTCCACACGTTCCATTGGCCTAAGCGCTATAAAGGTATTTAAACGATTATCGCGTTCGTCCCACTTGTGGTGATCAAATTGTTCGCTACTAGGTGTTTCCGTTACTACCGATCCTTCTTCTTTTGCCAAATCATTTTTTGGAGTTTTCGGTTCAGCAGGCTCTCCCAGTTCTTCCGTAGTACATTCATTTAATATCATTTCGGTTAGATCAAGTATAATATCAAACACTTTTTTCGATTTAGACAAGCGATTGTCACCTTTCGACTTATTACTTAGCTTTTCTGCATCCAAAGGACGTTGAAAGAAGCCTATATAGGCAGTGTGTGTCGCACGCCAACAAGGTGGAAACGCTCGTACCATATAGCTGAAGAGTTCTATAGACTGAATGTAGGTTCGAATGAGTGCCGCATCACCTGTTTTAGGGTTCAGGCTCTAAGGAAAATAAGATATATATTTATTAAACTTTAAAATATGAATGTCTTAGTTACCAAAATTAATTCAATTAAATTCGTAAATGTGTCTTCTCCTGGAAACTCACGACGTTGGCACATATCTAATGCAAGATTAATGAAAGATAGATAGCGTTGTTGTTTTAAAGTACAACGGAGCTGCATTAGGCGTGCTTCACTTGGTTTGTCCATTTCATTGAAACGCTGTTGGAAATGTTGCTTTCGACAGTAGACCAAATCTTCAGCGCAACGGGGTGGAAACTCTAGTCGTAGACGTTGCACAGAGTTTAGATACAAATTAGAAAATAACGTTGTTAGCTTATCAATTGAAGCTGCTCTATGCGTAGATTTGCTTTCTTTGTTAGGAGATTCTATTGAAGATTTAGACTTAGGAGCCTGTGCCTCATTTTCGACACTTTCCTCTGTGTTTTTTTCTTTTACATTTTCCATGGGTTGAGGTGTATGCTGTTCTCTTTTTCCACAGTCCATCTTTTCGGCTTCACCAATTTGTACTGCACTTTTTATAGTTGCCTCCTTGGTTTCGGCATTTGTGTCACCTTCTTGCCCCTTCTGCTTTTCTGAACTATATTTTGCAATTTTTTCTGGTGACAATTCTGTTTCTTCGGGGTTCTCCTTATCATCGAACGTCTTACGCCTCCGATTGGATGAATCAACTTCCTCAGAAGGTTCCATTGTAATTTTCTTACTGTTCCCACTTCTAGTACGCCTTCTGGATACAGATATCGTTTGCCCGTTTCTTTCGGTTAATATTACTTTTGGGGAATCTTCTTCAGGATTTGAATTGGAAGAACGTAAAATCCGTCGTGGTCTGCTTGTTTTATCACTGCTTAAGTAAACATTTGATGATAATTGCCCATTTTGTCTCGTATTTGGTGAAGATAAAACTTTTTTGCTTTTGCGCGGCATTGTCGTAATGTAAACAAATGAAATGTTGCCACATATTAAGAGTTTCTGTTTCTTAACTTTGCTAAACAACCAAATACCTCGATTTCAATAACTGGGTTGTTAAATATTGTTACGATTTTACTAAATCAACCTCGATTTTTTTCTAGATCCTTCGGGTACGATCTCTGGATTGTTAAATAAAAACTCGCCAATTCAATTTGCAGTATCTTTCGTTATAAAGATTTTATCTAATGTCCTTTATTTACTCCGTAATTCACAATTCAATTACAATGCACTTTTCTATTTACAATCACTAACATCAACTTTCATAAGTTACCCTACTTAAATGTATTTCCCAACGCTTTTACTTTACGGCTCTATACTGATGCTGTCGCATTTTCGCCACAATATAATCGCACTCCTATACAATATGCATGTATCTCTAGAAGATTCTCGTTTGAATGTTCTAAATAACGAACATCCGATACACGAACTCTGGAATATTCTTTAGTTATCGGTTTCTTCTCTCCCACAATGTTGAGCTAGAGATGCGAAATACGAATTTAATATAAGAAGGAGAGGCCTATAATTAAAACATGGTCTAAATAGAGCGTTAACGAAGATACATGCGAGCAAACTGTTGGTGTATAAGATTGGAGCTCGCACTGGTAGCAAGTTTACTTGAGTTTGGAGTGCTAGAGTTGTAAAATAGGTCGCCGTATAGAGTAGAGCGAATTGTAATTTACAGAGCAACAAATAAACACTGACTAAATTTTTTTACAACAAAGAAGCTGAACAACAAATATAGGTATTTCATTTAACGGCTCAGTTATCGAGCTCGAGGAGTGTGGGGAAATCTTTCAAATCACAAATGCATTTTTGATTGAGATATTTTGCAATTTCCATAATTAGGGGTTTCATATAGTCTCATAAAAGAGAAAAAAGAGAAAACCTGGGTATGATTTTCAGAATTTCATATTTTTCTTACTTACGAAATAGATGCAAGTTCATACCGAGAACTCCTCTCGCCGGTATCGAATACTGCCGAAGGGCAGCAGGAGCAGCAACGGTAATGATTGCATGCGACTCTCACTACGCACCGGAGTTGACCCGGATTTTATCCGGCTAAGAGCTGTCACCCTTTCGGTAACCTAACTCCGTTTAGGTCAACAGGTAAAATTAGTCTAAGTTCGCCAACGGAGCAACACTTCGTAGCTGGGTTGCTCCAAATCCTTCTTATCAGGGCTGGTCTCGAAACCAACCATGGACCGTCGGACTATTTCTGCTGCGTGTGTCACAAAAGACTCCACCACTCCTCCACTTCGGTTAGATGCAACCAGCGCACTGGTTGGAGTCACCTTAAGACCTGTTCAGGCCTTAAGACTCACAGGGAGTGGACTACGAGTTATGTGTCCCCATGTTGTCAGCGTCCAATCGTCCCCCCAAGCCACCACGACATTGCCTTCAGCATCTTTACTCGCTCAGGGTAATCAAAAGACCTCCACGGTCTCACGGAGCTCCCAGCAGCATTACTCCCTCCAACCTCCACCCCCATCCCTATCCACAACCAGCTCCACATCCTCCTCCCGTTCGAGGACTTCCCAGCAGCTCCTAGTCCCTAGCACAGTCTCTTCCGTGTGTTGCTCTGGCTGGTGTCACTTTCGGACGTGCTCTGGCCTGCGTACCACCCGTGAGTTGAGCGATGCGTATGTTGCCCCGTGCTATAGGAGTCTGCCCCGCATGTTTCGACAAACCCTCCGCCAACTAACACTAACGTGCGGAACCAACATCACTCCCTCACCCCTCGTACCTGATCTTGAAGTAAAATAGAGAGGAAAAGATTTCCAAAATTTTTTAAACTGTTAAAAATTATTGTAGGAAGAACTAACATATTATATATCTTGCTACATAGTTTAAAGATTTCAGTTTTGTACGATTTCATTATGGTGCCTGCTGGTGGCAGGGGGAAGCCATTTCCACATTGAAAAGGCCAAGTTCGGAAGGATTTTCATGGCAAGTAGAACCGTTCTCCAATGTCATGTTTTCGCAAATTATCTGGTTATTAGATTCTTGTTAGATCATTGATAAATCATGAGACCATAAGATCTGGTAATATCAAATTTAAAATAATTACATAAGATCCTGTATTCACTCATTTTTTTCTTTCACTTAAGAATTTGCGAAATTTGTGTGACCACAACTCACTCAAACGCTAATAGGGGAGTTTCAACTGATCCACAGACCGACATTATTTAAAGCACTAAATCGATTAAAATTCATTTAGCTCGCTTCATCTTACTTTGTTGCAAAGAAAAACAAAACCAAATAAAATGGTCACCAATTGAGCAGCACACAGCTACAAACAATAACACGCGGCTACAGAGTGGGCCAGTCAATTAGGTAAACAGTGGAATCAGTGGCAGTGGGACGTTCGTCGCTTGAATCTTTTGTCGAAAGCGGCGGGTAGGCCATTCGAAAATTTGATTTTTAGCTAAATAAAATGTAAGTTGAACCGTGGCAAAACGAGTATTACGTAAAAGGTGGCTTACATTATGGCACATATAAACAAAAATGTGCTTTTATCCGCCACATGCACAGCTAAAATGTAAGGTTCGCAACGTGCTCGTTGGCTGGTTGACTAAGTGTGGCTACAACTATTCTAATAAATCCTACTGCTGGCCAACATACACTCTGTGGCTTGGCCATTTCAGTTAACATATTTTATTTTTAATCTTTCATCTGTCAAAAGTAAGCGATGTGTTACTGTTACACGGGCAGACAGCGGCGTTGGTTGGACTCCACTCTTGCGGTGCTGCGGTAGTAATCCTGTTACTCTAAAGCTTATGAGTGAAAGGTGCTCATACGCCTCAGTGGACGGCTGATACTGTACCTTACATATATAATCTGCTCTAAGATGAAGTACACGCCAGCTCCGCAATGCAGTGGAAAACAACTCCTGACTTAGTAAAGTTAAAAAAAGTAGTCCTGCTAATTGCAAGCTCTCGCTTACCCCATAGCTTGAAAAGATTTTACGCAAAATGGGGTAATTTTTGGGACGCACTCCAGCAGCCATCCCATATTTTCGTCTATTTCAGTAAATAGACTGTCATTCTATTGATAATGAGGGTTCGCCTTGGTTTCTTGAGTCTGCCAGTTACATGGCTTTGATGTTCTGGATATTCTGGAGGAAAAATGTAGTTATGCGAGTTATGTGTGGCTACGTCGGAGGTCAATTCGCCTATACTAAAGTTAAAGACCCGCCACAGTAGTTGTCTCGTGAAATATCTGCAACAAAGCACAGCTAGAGCATTCCTCTCCCATAAACACAAGGAGGTACGGAATTTCAAACTCACAAAGCGAAAAACTGCTTGTTGGGTGCAAAGTAAACGAAGCCTAGAAAATATCGGACAATTGAAGTGGAGCATATTTTGAGCTTATTGTCCACTACGCCTACTCGACAGCGGCGCTGTAACCGCGATCAGACCACGTAAAGCAAAGAAGAATGAATAAAACGCCTGGCACTTCAACTATGTGGTCGGATAGTTCAATTGCATGGGGTGAATGAATGGACAATTAGTTGCGCATTGAAATTGGCCACTACTCAGTTAATGTTTCTGTTAGTATGTGTGAATTGCCGTCTATGTGTGCTGTTATGTCAGCATTTGGACTATGCACTTTTTGTTTGGGCGCCACATTTATTTTAGCTGTGACTTAATCGATTTTCGACCAGCTCAAACACACGCACAAACCTCCATTTAGCTGATTGGCCAGCCGGGCGCACGCATTGTAACAGTGTTTAGTTAGAGCGTGTAACGCTGCGTGGGGCTAGCACGAACATACATACCTACAGAGGAAGTGGCAAATAAAAGAAATAAAATTTAGAACACGCAATTGACTTTACGTCTGTGATTAATTTTCAAATTATTTGCCTAAAATAAACACAAATATTTATTAAGCCGAAAGCACAAACGTATGTCCATATGCACCGATACACACACGTACGTATATACAGACATGAAAGTTTGTGCTTGATGAATTATTGGACATTCGAACGATTTGCATATGCATTGAGTCCATTTTTTTTTTAGTAAAATAGTCAATAAATAACAATTATTTTAAAACGATGATAAATAGAGTTGTGCTGTGGTATTGACAGCTACAAGCAACTAAGATAGTTGAAAATGCATCACTGTCCAAGATCCGGACTGTTGCGTCCCTTGTGGGATAAGAGGAGATTTTGACCCAGCAGTTGTTGTTTTGAATGCCTAGCCATTTTCAGGACCAAAACTGGAAATGGAGAAAAGTCAGCATTGGTTTGTTGTTGGAAATAGTTTTCCGCTGTTTGAGTATGCGGATTTCTTACCCTTTTCAACCCGTCAGAAGGGCAAATGTTTCGCGTACACTGAAAAGGAGCTGCCTCTACGTCGGTATGTCTGAATTTGGTATCCCCACGACTGTAAAGACTGACGCTAAGCAACACCAAAAGCTCCATCCAGATAGAGAAGGATCTCAACAAGTCGAGGTTTCATTATCGTGTGTCTTCTTTTAATTTCATGCTAGAGAGAATAATAAGAGCGGCAGAGCTGAATAGAGAATGAACAATCTTCTATACAAGTTCACAGCTGCTCGCGTACGCCAATAATGTTGGTATCATTGGCTTCGACAACCGCTGCGTGAGTTCTGCTTCTACCGGACTTGATAAGGCATGCGTATGTGTGGGGTAGTGAACGAGGGTAACACGAACATCCTCATGAAACCACGTCACTGTTGACAGTCATAATTTTGAAGTCTTCACACCAACAACAATGTCAGTCTTGAATCCTGCGCATAATCACTCTTGCCAACTGGTTTTACTTTGGATTGACTAGGCAATTGGATTCCTTTCTCGGTGAAAAACTACCCAACTCTAAAAATCGAACGATGATACGAATATTACGGCGACATTGACATATTTCAGCGACTCCAGAGACAGCGGCTACGCAGACTGGGTCATGTGGTCGGTATGGATAATATTCTTTGAAAGTTGGAGAAGGTTCTGGATGCACCTGGAATTTCCAATTGGCGAAAAGAAAGAATCAACGGCCCGGTGTTGTTAGCTGGACTATAATTATGTAAGCGGTGCTTAGGCTAATAAAGAAGAAGAATATCAAAACATACCTACACCCATATCATACATATATCCATAGCCAAAAGATAGATAGTGAAATAAAAATGCGAACTGTACATACCTCGATCCAGCTTGGCTTCAAGAACTACTATCCGTTTCTTTCTTCAGTGGCTTACATGAATGTTCCATTACATATCGCTTGTTCGTACATCTGGTTGTTATTCGTCTGTCTGTTTATCCGTTTCTCTATACGGTGGTTCTTTTTGGCGTTGCGGTTAATTTTTCCCATCGGCTAAACTGTGCCGCCATGAAAATAGCGCCTCTAGAAAGCCAAGTACTTATTAGAGACTTACATAGTCCGTTCAGTAGTCCAGCAAGACACCAGCAACACACAACACACATACTCATACTGCGCTGTTCAACAGCACATACTCTTTCGTTGCCATTCCAATTTGAATCCAAAACTCATGTTGCCTCATTTGTGCTGCATAATTCTTCGACGCTTTGCACGTATGTAGTAGGGCTTGTTTGTACAGTGCTTAAGAATTGGCCGAAATACAGGATTCTTGCTTAATTGAAACTCTGTAAAACTTAATATAAAGAGAGGTAACTTAGCTTCCTAGTATAATCCCTGTACAATCTGCTATTTATTAGATGATTTCAACTCCAGTGAGCCAACAGCCAACCAGCACTACCAAATCAAATCGATACCTCTGCATTCTGATTCGGCCAGTGGAAGGGGTTGCGTAGGCTGAATGTCCAAAAACACTATTTCAATGTCCGCCTCATCTCAGACAATGATGAACAATCCAATATGGTGTCTTATCGTGGATTTGTAACCTCTAAAGCTACGAGAATTTGGCCTCAAGCTCTTCTATTAATTTGTGGTACGCACCTTGATGTTTTTCCAACAAATAATAGCCCACCCACCGAACGAACGATGAAATATTAATTTTTGTTATAAGTTTTTAGTGAGCTAACGCCTGAAAGTATACAGGACACAAAACAACTCAATAACCACGCTATTAAGAAGAATAGTGGCTAAATTAGCGCACTTAAAAGTTGTTGGTTAATATGGAATTGAATAATATAACAATAGATTTCACACGATTTATAACGACGTTACATGGTCTTCGATGTCGACAGAGGACAGAAGTTAATCAAGATAACGGTGAGACTGTTAGTTACTTATACCCCCGATAAGACCAGACACTTGAAATTTCGAGAGACGAATCTCGTATCTTTTGACAAGCACTGAGTTCTTTTTACTTCCACGCGACCACGAACCACTGTGCTGCACACCGCTACAATCATTGCCACCACAAACCGTAGAATGCTAACAAGCCAGCAAACAAAGTATGTCCCACTGTCAGAAAGTAAGAAAATTTGAGACTCAAATCGGCAAATAATCCAAAAGGCAGAATAAAAGACACAAAACAATTGGGGATCCAACAACTGGCCAGTAAGCCCACTTACAATTCTCCTACCATGCCGCGTCGTGGCTAAACATTTGCATGTGGTCTTACGCCATTACATAATAGTAAGACATTCAGTATATCTTTGTGATTTATCGAACGCAAAATAAATTTCTATGAATTGCACGGAGACCAAAAGTACTTATATAAACATTACTGCTAGACGCTTCAAGCAGATGTTGGAGGTATTGTGGAATTGTTAGCTTGTTGGCGATTCTTTGTGAATTTGTTCAACGAAAAAAGAGGAAACCCAGAGTCAACTATTGGCCAAACCGGGCGACACGTAGTAACAGAATGAGCTGTTTTCAACTCAAGTGCAATTGCCGGAGTGCTGAGCAGCACGTAGGTTGGCTTGCTCATGGGTTTGTGCGCGAGCTTTAAACGCCACGTGATGTCTAGTCGCCTTTGTTGCATGACATCTTGCCGCACTCAGCATGTGTTCGCCTGTCTAACGTGCCAAATTCAATTCAATTCAATTCAATTCGATTCAATTTTCTTTAGTTTCTTGACTTCGCAGAGTTAGCTGCAATGCAGTATCTTTAATTGCCTCAATTTTTAGAGCAAACACGGGACTTTAGTTCGAGTTGAAATTTGCTAATTCTATCACTTATAACTATACAGTGTGTGAACTGTCGCTTTTGCAATGAATGTACATATTGGTTTACATAAATTATAATAAATGCACTAGGCAGTGGCGTTCAGTAGGTCTCAATTAGGCGAACCACGCGTGGAGTGTTACAACCAGGAGCAAAATCATCATGATTCGGACATCACTCTGCGGCCGTTAACATAAAAAGTGCGTTCCCACACTGGTCGGCTCGGGTTAGAGAGCCAAGAGCACCACAATAAATTTCTACCTGAGTGGGTGCGGCAATTAACAAAATTTAGCTGCAGCTTTTTGTTTGGTCAAAAGCAACCACTAAAATAGCAACAGCTAGTACACATACACACCTGCCCACGTTACGCCAGACCTAATCGTCACTACACCAACTGTAAGCATGTGACCTTTTTGACATTGCTGCTAAAGGTGTTTGTTTACAAAATTATATACAAAGGTACACATTTTCTTCTGTTGCATATTCATTTTACTGTTCTTTTTATGACATCACATCATTTTCGGGTCTCTTTGGCGGCATTTGAATCGACTTAGAAGGGGGTTATGATGGAATCTTATCAGTGTGGCTTTAGCCTTGAAAAATCTACAATTACCCTGATATGCGAAAGATCTTGGAAAATAATCGTGAAAAAGGGAATCGACACACCAATTCTTTGTCGATTTTAATTCAGTTTCCGTTGGATACCAAACAAGCTCTGAGATAAAGTGTGTCCTTATCGTGTGAATTTTATAATCTATCGTTGAAGAAAATGTTACTAGTTGCAGATCTGACTAGAGAAGTTACAATATTCTATAAGAGTGTACAACTACTAGCGTACACCGTCAGTTCTGCGGTCTCCACACTGGATAAGGAAGTGAATCGTATGGGTCTGGTCGTCAAACAAACAATAGAACAAATTAAATTAAATTAAATTATATTAAATAAAATATAACAGTTTCCTCTTTTTCGAAGCGTTCTCTCTTTAGTAATACAATATATAATATACATACATATATACAAATGTATGTTTATTAATATATTTTTAATCTTTCCTGGTAGAGTCAATACCATGCATCAAGTGACATTCGCAGTCTCCAAATCCTCTAGAAACCTTTCATTGTTTCTTTTGCACACTGGAAGTATGCGATTAGTAGATTTATGTTGCTTCCAATATTGATCAGTGAAGCGCAAAATTTCAATTATTAGCAATATCTTGCGGTATTTGAGCAATAAGCAAAACGAAAAGTGTCATAATTTCCTGGCTGAACGTTGTGAGCTTATAAATATGCGAAAAGTGTGAAAAAGCGTGTTTAGTTTACTAGAGGCACGTCCAAGGAGGACACGGCAGTAGCTAGCGAAAAAATAAAGATTTTCATGCCCATCGTTTCGAACGCTTCATATTAACACAAAATAACGTCATTTAAATTAACGTTTCAAAATAATTTTGAAGAAGTGAGAGTGCCAGCAATAAAAGCTTTTCCGTTTCACACATCACAATGCAAAGATGGATTGTCAACGAGGCATTATGCCACCCGTCGAAACCTGCAACAGCATTCATCGAGGTAACGCATGCCAGCCGCAAGTTGATCAATCGTAAACAACGCATTCTGCTGCAGATGGACCAGCAACAACACGACCAGCTATGCAAATCAAAAGAAAAACATTTCCAAAATACGCACCCAGCAATGTCGTCTTACCAGTTCCGCATTGTTATGATGCCACAACGTCTGCAGATGCGTCTGGCGTTGACTCCTGCCGCTTGCCTTGCATCCACAGCATTCGTGCTGCTGCTGTTGATGACGACTGCACCTGTTTGCCAGGCAGTAGGTTACTCATACACGCGTTTTTCCGGCCCAGTCACTGGACCTGAGCAGAAGATAATTGTACATGATGCGCTGACTAGCGGTGGGGTCGGTGGTGGCGCCCGCATCGACTTCATCGCTAAACCGGCCTACGAGTTCGCTTACGGCGTGGAGGATGCACAAGCACGCCTGCTGCAGAATCGGCAAGAGATGCGTGATGGCGATGCCGTGCGCGGTTCATACAGGTGGGTAAATTTTGTGCAAAGACGTCGATTACAGTTGACGCAGCAACTGGTTGATGTCAATTGATTCTTTGTTTCATTTCTGTTTACTTCACCGGTCACTTAGTTAATCGGCATTTATATTCCCATTTTCTATTTTCCTATTCCTGTTTGTTGCGCGAACGTGTAACATGTGAATGGATATAAAAAATGTTCAGCGTCGTGGACCCGGATGGCAATTTGCGTGTAGTCAAATATACAGCAGATCATGTAAATGGCTTTCAGGCTGAGGTTACGACGAACGGCCTTGGGACGACAGTTCACGGTCAACAGTTATTGCCGCAGGTGCCGGTGCAAGCTGCGCCAACTCAGACGACTCCACCTCTTTGGTACTATCCTCATGTAGCACAACAACAGCAGCAGCAGCAAATCCAACATGACGTAGAGCAAAAGAACGAAGACTCTGATGATGAGTATGCTGACGATGGAAATGAGGTGGCTGAAGATTATGAAGAAAGTGCGGATGAGGTTATAGAGAATAAAGAAAATCTCGACGAGGGCGAGGAAAATGAAGATGAAGATGAAGAAAAAGAAGAGCATGATGATTATGAAGGCAATGAATATTCTTCGGAGGAGTGAAGCATCTAATAAGGGATAGAGAAGCGTTCCATATTAATGTATTATTAATTCAAATATTATGCGCTTAATGCATAAACCTAATTTATTATTAATAAATTTAAAATGAAAAAGTTTCTGAGGCTCTATTAAAAGAAATTATATTATAATATATTTCTTCGTTCGGCACACATTTCATCACCTCTTATTTGATCATATAACCTTATATACACGCTATGCCAAAAAATCAGAATGACTTAAGAGTAGAAAGTACTAAAAGGAGGAAGGCGAAAGCATATTTCTACTTATAAGTCTTCCTATCCTCTGAAAGAAGGAAAAAGATAGTGGAGTCGTAGACATTGCGCTCCTCAACTTGTGATATCGACAAGTGCCTAATAGCTCAGGCATTCACTTGTTCTCGTTCGCAAAAGTCGTGGACCATAGAGAGTAGACGTTTCAAGTGTAGGATCTACGAGTAATAAGACCAATGAATTGCGATGCAGCTAAGCCCAATTAAAATTAATAACTGAATTTATCAAGAATTCTCCATCCAAGTGTCAGTTTAGTGGACATAATTAAATACTAAAAGTTGTAATATTTAGCTTATTAACTCCTTTTATACAATTAAATATCCACTATGCGTATTATTTTTCCAACGCCCACTTCCATTTCGTGCGTAAATTTGCTGCAGCACACCCATGTCAAAAACTTGACAGAAATAATCTACTTTGTGGCAGCGCCATTCACATCTACAAATCCGAAAGCCGCGCGACAGATGCGGGTGATTTGATAGAAAAACGTAAAAGGTTATTTTGAGTTTGTCGCACAGTGGGAATTCGAGCTTTATTCTCGGCTTATCCTAGAGAAAATCTCAGGTGAATTTAAAGTCAAATCTCTCGGTTTATGAAACCAAATGAAAGCTGTTTGAATATTCGTCCGATTGGCCAACAACTAAGCTCGGGAAAAATAAAGAGGCTTTGCTTACCATTGTATCTCCTGCGACACAACGAAATATCTTTTTCAAAGGCTTTATCGCTTGATCCACAGAAAATCATAATGCAGGTGAATCAATTCTAATTGCGGTCGCCCGTCGGCAGGGAATGTCAACCTCTCCGATTGTATTTCTGACATGAGATAAAAGCTCCTCATAAAAAACCATCAGCTATTCGGAGGCGGTTTAGTATAAACTATTGGAAAACATCAAGACGCATCGGTTACAAAGTGCCAATTACATATACAAATATCTCAAGAACTCAGGAACTCATTATACGATATATTCTTTTTGTCTTGTGGTAATGAAACAAAAACTAAATGAAGGAGGACCTTTCCTTGGCTAGCGTTGAGTTGATTTTATGTTACAGGAAATTTTAAAATTAAAGCTATGAATTCGGCAAGAAGGGAATTGATAAAAAGCAAACCTTTTTTTTGCTTACACAAGCAACGAAGGGACTTTTTTCATATTCAAAAGGAAAAATTACTTACATTCTTTCAGTGCTTGCTTGCAGACAGTAATTTCGTTACACAACGCCAACCTATTCTCGGAAATTTTTCGACTTAATCTTTTCTTCTAAACTACTGTACCTTGGCTCGGTTGAAAATCGTGAATGCGTAACAAAACTGGAGGATTAGCCACTGCCAACGTTTGGCCATTGTCCGTCCGCCTGTCAATTGTGTGTGTGTCGAAATGATCATGACAAACCGTAGATCACTTTGGGCGGCGTGCGAAAAACGCATAGTGTAGGTATGCACACACATGGATGGACATACAAATGTATACAACAAAATACAAGTTTGGGAATGTCGATTTTTATGAAACATTCTAAAAACTACAAAATCAATTTGGGTCTGTGGGAATTGACTAATATGATTGCATAAGAATAAGTCTGTATAGAAATATATACAAATTCACAGTATCTTTGTGTGTATGAGTTGACTATTATTTCGGTCCTCTAATCATAATTTGCGAATCGGACAATTAATGCATGTGACTGTTATATCCTTGAACTGCGTTCAAATCGAACACAGTAAAAAAGTTATTTGGATTTTTTAGTTGTTGTAAATTTTGGCGCTGATTGAGGTAGCCACGTTTGCTTCACTCTCCAAACATTTAATTAGCGCAAGAAACATTTGAGTTTGGGTGCACCATGGCAAACTCTTAGTTTAAGTTGGGTGTGTCACTCCATGGCGTATACGCAACGGCGGTTAATAAATTTGTTTTGTTTTGCAAGCCTTAAATTATTATATACACGCACCTACTGGTAGCAGCTAAAAATAGACTGCATGATTTTTATCAATTTGCCAGTTGACAAGCATTTAATCAAAATCAGCTTTAGTTATTTTGGAACTTCTGTGAAAAATAGTCCTAACAATTTTCCAAAAATATTTAAATTATGTAAATTGTTATGAATGTGTGAGCATATCTCACACCGCGCGCTTGCATAAGCCACAATATTGACATAAACGCTTATTGGAATCTAATATGTAATACCTGGCAGCTGGACCTCGTGCACCAGCGGCTTTCCATTCACAAAATCGTCCAACGCCAATTGTTAGAGTTATGATCATTGGCCGGGGTACGATTTGCGCGCTGCTTGTGCGCATTGCTAGACCGTCTGTTATCGCCAAAATAGCCACCGTTGACAGGCGAACATAACAAACTGGATCTATCAATTAAAAAGTTAAATTAACCGCTAGGCGAATATAGACGAAAAAATTGCGCCAGCATGAAGAGTGGAGCAGCAGCGGCAACAACAACACCATAACAACAGTAAACAACTCGCTTTCGTACATACTTGGCAACCTAATTTTTGATGGCTTTTGTAGCGTTGAATGTGTAACGGTGATTTCGTAATTTCTTTATAGCGCAGATGCTTGTCTTTGTGTATGCCTATGTGTGCAGAACAGGTGTCAGTTGCACGAGTACTTTCACACAAATTCGTTTCTGTGTGGGCAAGTGTAAATTGGTATTTTGTAAAAATTTGCTTTAATGAGAGCGTTATTATCTGCTCAACGACCAGTCGATTAAACACTCAGTCATCATCACTAAACAAATCAATCAACCCGCGAGCTTTTCCAGCGAAGTCCTGAAGGACAGTCGTAGGAGGTCGCCGCGTCATTTTTGAAATCATGGAAGTAAGTCAAGTAGCTGCTCGGAGCGCAAGCGTGCGACGCATGAGTTTGGCTCTTCAAGGACATTGATATATTGCGGGAACCAGGTTCGGAGGTATGAATGTATATATAATGAACAGGCCTACGATCATTCTGAGAGCCAAATGAAGAGAAATGTGGTCATGATATGAGGCAATAAAAGCAGAATATTGATCTTAACTAACAATGATTTCCTCTTATAGGGCCACCTGTTGTCCAATCACATCCTTGGAAGACTTTGGGAGGATATGTTAATACATGAGCCGGAGTACTCCGAGTGTCTTTCGAATTCTGTTTTCACTTTTTGGTGCATATTTATGTACGTAAAGCAATGCACAATTAAAATGATTTATTTCCACATTCATTTATGCGACAACAATTCCCTGTAGACCTACATACGAGTACATACGATATTCTAAGACACATTGGTATATACGTGTATGTATATCAGTCTTCTTTAATTGCCTCCTTATTGTTCGGCTTATTGCGTTACTTTAATTGCTTGATTTTTCTTAACTGAAAATGTGGATACAGTTTTTCTTCTTGTTGCATGTGCACAAATGTATGTGCGTCAGTTTATTTGTTTGTTTAATTGGAACTGTTCGAGTGACCCCGTTTGCCAAATTGTCAGGCGGTAAATTTATGTTTTTGCCCAGTGCAAGCCATTAAAATTTTTAACCATTGCCACAGCAGCTTTGGTACTCGTCAATGTGGTCGCGCGGCTGCTGCATACAGATCACACAATGCAACACGCAAAGAAACGTGCAACAGACCAGAAAAGACAAAATTCACTAATGTGTAGTGTGTATTGAAGTGTTTGTTTACTCATGGATATATTCATCCGAGACCTATGCGCATATGTATGAGCGGACGTATATGTACGAGTACGAGTATGTGGCTATATGTGGCTATATGTGGCTATATGTGGCTATATGAGAAAGAAACGTGTAGCTCACGCTGTGAAAATATCAGTGGCAGTCAAATTGCGAAAACTAACTAATTTTCAGCATCAAGACTTCTTTCTCGTTTTTATTCGCAGTAGAAATAGCAGAATCCCACACTAAACACTGCCGGGAACCCAGAATTACTCTAAATGAGTTCTAACGAGCAGAAAAGTGAGCAACAATTTAGGTTCAGTTAACACTGTTTACAAATTTGTTTGACCAAATACCCAAAGGCTCTAGTTGGTTAAATGTTTAGCAAAGTTTAAAAAAGAAACGGCGCAGTGATGTCATTAAGATTGCAAAACCCCGATCTACTGAATGTAAAGATTTCCGCACTGGAACAGATTAGTGCGAATCTGTTGAGCAAACGATCAATTTACGAAGCCTTCTTAGGCAGAAAATCTGTAGGCAAGTAAGTACAAGGATAAGTAAAATCATAAACCGCCTCAATTATCTTAGCTTGACGCTTAAGCAAATCATTATTTTTAGTAAAGGCGTTTTTCGGTCGTCAACAATACCAATATATGGCAAAATACAACTGATGATGTATGCACGGCAGCGTTTATGTGTCACAAAGCTTTTAAAACATTTTCATTTTCTTCGCTAAATATTCGCTTCGTAAGAAATTGAGAGTGAAAATAACAAAATTCCTTACATCATGCTTCATGCCTGCAGTCAACAGCTGCAACTTTTCCTCAATAGCACCAGATATTAGTTAGCTGTTCGGTCGCTAAACTTGCTACCAGATGCTGGAATGCATTAGCTCGATCGAAAGTAGATCAGTAAGCAAGTACTTCATGTTGATGGCGACAAACGAATGCGCACGCGCATAATCAACTGTTATCATTCGTATACTCGCATATAAAAGAATATGAATAATTAAACAGTTTATTGAGTTAGGGTATTCATAAAAATATGCTCTTTTAATATATTATAAAATGAATTCACTTCTTATAACTTCGGCTTTTTGCCAGCCATAAATAACAGTGAAATCTGTAAATCTAAAATTTGAATATCTCATTTTTTATGTAGTATGAAAAAGGCATTTAAATTTAAAAATTTGAATCTTTCTTATTATTTTCTGAAGTTATGTTGCTTATTCTTTACAATTTCTAAAATTATTTGCAAAATTTTGCACTTCTCTTAATTTGTTGCGAATCGCTATACGATAAATTTTCTTTTTCTATTTTCGTTTCTCTCTCGCTTCGGTGATAATTGCATAATAATGGCTTTGTTTTTAATTTTTATCCCGCGGCTATCTTTATTGCTTTTGCTTTTGTTGTGGCTGCGGCAGCCGTTGTTGCCTCTTAAAATGGGTAAATAAGCCAACCATGGCGGCTCCGGTGCAGCAGCAGCAAATTTCATTACAACTTTTTGCACATACAAATATGCTGTTAACTAGCTGGTTAATCGGTTAGTTGGCCAGTAAGTGCAGACGTTTGTGGCTAAGGTTTGTATGTGTTGAGGAGTTGAAGAGTGTGAGTCGGTCATACGAAAAGAAAGATAAAGAAAATATGTAAATATAAAGAGACTTTTAAAGTAAACGCAAACTGTATGAAAGCTGATAGAAAAATCACAGCCTTAAAACTAAAATAAAAAAAAAAAAAAGGAAATCAGCAAATGTTTTTTGGTTGAATCTGTATGTGCCCTGGCATGTGTTTAACTTTGATGCAACATCATTGTGCAGTATTAGTAATAATTTTTGGAAATTAAGCTTTATTCGAACTGTAAATTACAGAAAAATTCTCGAAATTACTAAGTTAACCTTGAGTCACAATCCAAACTTGTAGAAAACTAATTAAGAAACTTAAGTTTTCTGGCTGCGACAGCCCTCTGCATCAAAATTGACTTCTGCGAGTGTATTTCTGAAATGGGAAATGGAGTAAAACGACGAGCTCAGCTGAAAATCGACTCAGCGGTTATTATGAATAATTGTTTCCGAGGAGACTCTTTGAAATTTTGACAGGCCTCGATTTTTCGATAAGACTGGGTGGCACTTCACTTTGACAGAAGGAATTTGTCAGCCTTGTCAGAGGGGTATAGCTTGTACTTCCACTTCAATTTATACAAATCAAGTATTACAAGTAGATTTTATGCCCTGCAAGACTTTAAGGGCTCTTTAGTTTAACAATATATATTTATTCTTCTAAAAGCCGCTTAAAAATCATCATCATCAAATTAAGACTTTGCCTCGGTTTATATGTTGAAAACAACAGTTAAATCATCCTTTCAGTGTCATTTGCTAGTTCGCCAGTCGGTCACCTTCAGAACATAAATTCTACTACTTTTATTTATTTTTTGTTTGCTGTTAACCAAGTTTATTTGACATTTAGTTGCTGCGAGCAAAATTTTTTCTTTAAATTCAAGTTCTCTCAACTTCTGAGTGCCCATTTTTTGTCGACAAGCAAATTTTCCCATCGTTTATTGTGTTTATTTGTATTTGCAATGAAAAAAGACCGCCGATGTTGCCATTAAAAATGCTTAAAAATGTGCTGTACGAAGATGGCGGAGGGGGGTGTTGACTTCCAGCTAAATCAGATTTTAATGTTAGTGCTTTACTGTTATATGTCGACAAATGAATCAGTATGGAGTGGAGAACACAATAGAAACATTTGCGACACACTTCTCCAGCTGTTGCAAGAACTTTATACAGCATTGGTCTGCCGGTTGCACGTTTATATGTTGCTGTTTATGTGGTTAAATGCAGTGCCTAATTAATTCATTTTTATCGCTTTTGAGTGGGTGAATACAAACATATACAGAGTATTACATCCATACATATGTTATACACATACAAACGCGCCACGACAAAGAGTCACAGATTTATTGGTTGCCTCAACAAATTGGCAAAATTCCTTAAATTTGCAATTACGGTAATTTGCATGACCATCTTTGGCTTAAGATGCTATTGTGCTCTGCTGCTGCTTTTCGTGGTAATTGCTTGCAAATGCGCTTAAAAACTAGAAGTGTTCGCCAGAAAAAATTACCGCATATCTTCAAAACACAAAAAAGGCAACAAAAAAATGAAATAATATATACCAAAATTACAGAAAAAAAAAAATGAAATAAGAAGTCAACAAAAGCTCAGACGTCATCTTGCACGTTGTGCCTCTGTGTTTATACAGCAATTCCTGTACGTGCCACAGCTGATGCGCTTGGTAATTTTGGCCGCAGATGCTGCTTACGAGTATTTATTTGTTAATTAATTGACGTTGTTGATGGTTGAGGAAAAACCACAAAGACGAGTGGTAGACGAAAAGAGCCAACAGCGCCAAGCTGTGCACACTTAACAGATAATTTTAACGATGTTAGGCATTTGAATTGGACGTTTAGCTTTTCCATTTATAGCTACTTGCTAAAAGGGCATTCGATTTGTAGTTAAAAAACAAATAAAATAAAACAAAAAAAAAGTTTATAAATTTTATCTTGTGTCATCTTTTTGCTGCAAAAGTATTCCCTTTCTTTGGCGCGTTGTAAGCTCACCTTTGAAAATCTGATGCTGATTTCTAAGGTATTGGGTGACCTGACAACAACACTGTCTCTATACATCTATTTTTTTGCACTTGAAAGCCTGTAATATGAAGTGTTGCTACGAGAATCTGGAACGTGACTCCGACAAGACAAGGTCAGTCAACTGCATCTTCTGTTTAGTAGATTTTTGTAAGACTATTCCTTTAAATGGACAGTCATGAGCCATTCTTCGCTATGGAAAATCAAGCTCTGAAATCAATTGGTTTTACTGTTACTATTCCATGAATATTACTAAAAGATATTAGCAGTTTCCTGAGAAATAAATCACTAAAGAATCAGTCCTTACCAGAAATTTGGTTTCGCTTGGAAATACAGAAGCTGTGCATAGTCTGGATCTTGTTTTCATAAGTAGAATTATTTTTGTTTACTATTTACTAGCCTATACACCACTTTCAAGCTTATAGTCGAGTTAATAAAATTCATTCATTACTTCCTTTGGATGTTTAAAGTCAACTGGAAGTAACTAGTACAGCCAGGTCCTTCTACACCTGGCCTGCTTCGAAAACTTTCAAAGCCGGAGTATTCTCATCTTTCCGGCACACATTCTCTAGCCAGCCTAGCCGCTGTCTCGTGATTCACTTCGTCTTGCCCCTGTTCATACCAGACCCATACACTCCACTTTCATTGCCATCAATCGAGGAATCGGGATCGCCACTTCCTGATGTTCCAATTTTCATTCATCAGGCGGGAGAAGCGTTTCCTCCAAAAAATCAATGTACTCTAGGCATCAGTCGTTAGGTCACCTCTCGGATTAAGCACGAGTAATTCAAATTTAACAGAACTTTCGGACGAAACATTAAATAATAACGAACGCATTGATGTAGCTTAGCGGTTAAGCAACATCAAAACCATTTCGAAAAAACCAAAAAATATTTTTCAATTCTTCTTTAGGTTTAGTTGTCATCCATGAAGGGAAAATAAAAACTTACTCCTTAAGTCTTTAGTGCAAAAGTACAGAAGTGAAATTAGCATAACTGAGCAGATCGCGTCAGCAGGAAAAGCAGTAACAATCAAAATGAGTAGAAAACTAAATAAATAAAATTAGACTGTATTAAGTTGGAAGCAATATAGTGTAATATGTTTATAGTCATGTTTATGCTTTACTTACTTTTTTCTTTATGTTGATTGTAACTTTGCTCCAAACAGCCGAATAGTCGCTTTGCAGTGCGATTATGTTTCAGTAAAAGAGAAGGTAAGGGAAACCAGTGGTTTGAAATAGAAATAATTATTATTGCGAAAATGTCGTACCCAGCTAAGCACACACACGCCCACTGCACACACACCTAGGCATATAAATATGTACAGATGTATTTAAAAGTCATACGCACGCGGAATTTTAGTCGATGATATTGCGTAGTTTCATATGCGCGCCTCAATCCGACGACAAGTCGCCGATTTGCAGCGGTGCGACGCATTGCCTGACGTATGACTGATGACTGATACTGTTGCTGTCGCTTTGGCTTCAACGCCGCATACATCTATTGTAATGTTGTTGGTGCTTTTCGCTGGGCACCCAGTCCACAGGTCCACAAGGCGATTTGGTAATTTAATGCCTACCTCTGTGACTTTTATTACTTTTCGATACAAAATGAATTTGATTGCCACACGAGCAGTGTGTTGACACATTCGGTTGAGAGACACAAACACACAAACACACAAACACACACACACACATACACCTACACACATTTAATGTGCATAACTAAAGAGGAATATGAATGTATGTAGCGTGCCTTGGTACGGTGATTGACTGGTAATGGAATGGCTGGAAGATCATACAGTCTAAACTCTTTTACGCCATTGAGAACACTAAGATGGCATAAAGCTTAAATGAGGTATATGAAGTGGTCGTTGTTGCTGTTTTTGTAATCATAGAACGTTTTCCAAACTAGCTGAAGAAGGTTTCCTATTTTTTCTGTACGTAAGAGTTCGGGCTGACGCAATATCTTCATGTGATTTTCTTGAGCTGTACGGTATTTTTGCCGTCTCTTACGTGTATGTCTGGCATTTCTCACCGAACCTAAATTCGTGTTCCCCTAGAAAGGGCAGAAACAAAGTATCTCCTTGTAATGTGCATCCCATTAGATGGCCTGTCATAATCCCGGTCGATTCGCTGCTGGGCAGATGCATGCTCACAACTGACTGAGTAATGTGCATATCATTTTCTGATTTGCATACAGTCATTATGTGTCTTGCAGGCGCCAGTATTAGCGTCAGCTAAGCTATTAGCCAGACGATGTACTCATAAGTACTATTTTAGTGCCTTTGGTAGTCGCCATAAAAAACTATACATGCATTGACGACTGTAGGAAAATTCATAATTACACACACATAAAGCAATAAAGAAAAATTTTAAATGAAAAAATATGGATTTTTAGGGGCATAAGTCCCGGCTAAAAATGCAAAGGCATTCTTATTTGGCCATTCATTGGAGGTCGATTGGGCACGATTTTAATTTAAAAAATAAACGCATATACATATATAAATATCATTTGTCCATATAAGTCCATAAGTCAGAGCGAAATTTTCACGACAACCCTTTATAATATTTATGTGTGCCCTCTGCCAAAAGCTAATCAGCAAGCCAAGACCATGGCGAAGGAATTCTTTTTCTTATTCATTTTAATTCTAAAAATATGTAATTGGATACGTACGTGTGATGTTATCTACGTGTATGTTCCATTTTGCCTAGTGTTTCAAGTCTGAGCACGAGCGCACGAAAACCCACTCACATTTGTCGCCCATGAGTTGTATGAGGAATTTATAGCTACGAAAACGAGCAGTTCGTTGTTCTGAGTGACATGTTTGGTATATGAAAAATATGCATTCACATACGTGTATTCTCGCATGAAAAGGTATTTTGCAATCAAAATATTGCACTGCATCGGCTTATTCCTTGTATATTTTAAAGGTTTACTAGGGTGGTCCGCGTTGCAATCAATTTTTTCCTCGAAGGGAAAGAGTTTTTGAGGCTACCGGATATTTGCACAAGACAGTTGGACGATGAAGATATGTGACCAATATCATGCTGAAAACGAAAAAACTGAAGAAATGAAATAGAATAAAGTCTAAAAAGATGACCAAGGAAATGACATGTCAGATTGAAGAAGTCGTCGAATTTCAAATGCTTAGTATGATTTACGAATATTAATCGAAATTGAAATATATAAATATGCGCCTGTCTCCTAATTTGTATTGAGGTTTTAAGAGCTGCTTAAATATGTTCCTTCAAATTAAATTAACTCTGAATTTATGTTCTTCTCCTCCTTCTTGTTCTTCTTCTTTAACGCTTGCTTTAAAACCGTCGCACGTCCGCAGCCGAGCTTCCAATGAATAGAAGCTGCTGTTTGACTTCAAGGAACCCTAAAATCGAATATGGCGGAGAGGCTCCACTGAAGCTTGCTCTCTGTTTAGCCGTGTCTCAAGGCTCCACACGGGTTGGTTACTGCATATTGCCCAATGACTGCTTACGTTTCCCACGTATCCACGAGAAGCTTGACTACACCGCAATACACCAATGTCTGCATTTAAACTTTTTATGTATTAAACTACCCTAATATTAACTGCAAAATGAATCACCGTTACGTGCGATTCCATTTTTATTCTTTTCTTTATCACTTTACATTTATGCGTTGGAGGAAACAATGTATCACACATACATGCATACCTACAGTCCAAATACAATTCTTTGTGTTGTAGTTTGATAGGAACGCAGTTTAATTTACAAAATAAATAAAAACATATGCATGGGCTTTTATACAAAAATTGAAAATGTGTTGTGGGTTATTGATATGAAATTAAATTAGTGCCTCCCATTTTTGAAGTGCTTCGGTATTATATTTTATTGTCAAAAAAAAAAAGCTCGCGTTGCATATAAAATTTCAACCACATACCTATTAGAATAGAGGACTTCTGCCTTATTGGGCCTTGCAGTGAACTCGCTTCTGACTGAAACGGAATGGAGTGGGGCTGAGATTGCTGCTTACATCCATCCTAACGAAAAGAGTACAGATGAGGATGGTTTGACGCATGATCCAGTCTCCTAAAATCTTGCTGCGTCTTAACTAGCTATTCGTATTCAAAAATGTTTCATGTTTACGATACCAGTGTTTGAAAAAAAACTGGACAAATTTTTCTATAAAATGCATAGTAACGAAAATAATAAAAAGTGTCATCGTCAAGCTCAGAAATGTCCTTGCCTCAGCAAAGTGATGCATACCACGCATCTGCAATGCATACGGGCGAATGATATTCATAATCCACTCACATGCCTTTACGCACAGCCCAACCACGTATATTACTTTGAAATGTGGTACAAGATTTGCTGATGCTCAGATCCAAATGGTCCAAAATACTTTGTAATTGTTCTGAAACATATAGCCCTGAAACATGCCAACAACAGGTATACATATATATTTGAGCTTGCGACAACTCATACTAATAAGCCCAACATCGTTGTGCGTATGGTTCGATAGGACCAGTGGCTTTCAACAGAGTAATACGAATTGATAACCAAAATTGTATGGATGACTGCGAATAGCCTCAGATCATCCAGGGGAGATAATATGTTCTTTTAAGTGGTCTCCAGTAGAGATTGACAACAGTACGGTATAATTTATCTTCCAATATATTTTCTACCAACAACAAATATATAGCTCACTTACCATTGTAGATGACTTTAGCAATTTTTGTACAAGTACACATACAATACATACATGTGAACAGCCTTCGAAGGCAATTGTTTGAAAAAAAAAAATCACCTTGCCACAAAAAGCCACTTTCAGTTTTACATTTTCTTGCACAAAGCCAAATTAAAAAAACTGAATTGAATAATTGATAAATAGATAACAATAACAGAAACTGCATTGAGTTGTAAAAAGTAAAAATCAAATTAGAAGAAATAGGTAACTCACAGTGCATGCATACATACATAAACATTCTCACACTACAGAAAGAGGTAAAAAAAAGTCCATTTGCTCATATTTTGCGCTTTAGTGAATTGGATAACCCAATTTAGCTGAATTTAGGCACAAATCTACCTAATTCTGAGACACAAAAATATAAGTGTAAATAGCAATAGCAACAACAGTAACAATAGCAAATGGTGACACATTTGAATATGAGTGTATGTATGTATGTATGTAAGTACTCGCAAGCATAACACATTTTTAATGCTCCTAATATAAAACTCATATGAAAGCAGGTAATGTGAAGACAATAACAACAACAACAATCGCTAATACACATGTATGTATGTATAAGAGTATGTATGTATGTATGTTCATAGTAAACCTGCTACAAACGCCAACTAAGCCGGCTCCTGCCATATGGCAAGCAACTGGGCGCACCTTTACAGTTGACGCGATTCAATTCAACTCGAATTTGAGTAGATCCAACTCGAGTTTTGCGCATAACACAAATACATATTTACATATGTACATATGTACATATGTACATACATACATGAATACCTACGTGCTGTGTTTTCTTGCTGTTGGCAGTTGGCAGTTGGCAATTTGCAGTTTATCGCCAGATCGCTCTCTGCTGCCGGCTTTTTTCTGCTTCTACTTCTTCTACTTCTCCTTCTACTACAAGTCTGCAACAAGTCTGCTTCTTTAGCTTTTCTTCCATTCATACATTTTCCACTGCACGTACATATGCTGTTCGCCTGTTTGCTGCTTTTGCTTCAGCTGTGGTCCTCACTTGTTAACGCTGCTGCTGCCGCGACTGCCTCTTAGCTTGGATGCTGTGGTTGCAGGCGGAGCTAATCGACCGCCGACTTCTGCATTTCAGCATCAGCAACTGCATCTCTGTGCGTCTGCATAGCGGCTGACGCCTGACGGCTGACGGGTTGGCGACGACGTTCGTCGCTGGGCTTTTGGGCCTAGCAGCGTATATAAATGGTTTTGGTCATTGGAGGCAGACATCAGTTCAACGGTTTCTTGCGAACAATTCGAAACGTTTACCCAGCAATAATTGCAACTGGCGGAGTTAACTCTTTAAGAACGTGAAGTACTCAGGAGAAAAAGTGTGTGGTGCGAGGCGTTAAGTTTTTGCTATAAACCCAAAGAACGTTCGGTTGTTGTTCGTAACGCGTTATTTTTGTGAATTGAATTTTACATTGTGAAAATGAAGGTATACGAGTAACTAATTAAATAGAAATTATTGCATAAAATGTACTCAAGAAGAGAAAAACACTGTAAAAACTAAACTGAAAAAGGGATATTGGTAAACAAATTTATAGAAATTAAAGGAATGGTGTACTCGTGTGTGTGAAGTGCTTAAGGATATCAACAGACTTGCTTACATATATATGGGGGTCGATTCTGCTAGAAACTAATTTATAACTGTTAAATAAGATTTAACAAATTAATATATTTTAAAGATATTGAACATTCTAACGTCTAGGCCTGTAATTGCGCATTTGTCCCGTCCCACTGCGACATAAGTCACAACAGCCAATTGGTTTTTATGTTTTTATTAATATCCTATATAAATTATATATATACTATATATAATTTTTGTAAAATTTATATGAAATACTAAATTTATTTGTTCTTCGAACTAGTATAAATTAAATAAAATGGCATATAGCAGATTTGTATCTGAAAAATAAACTTCCCTTGAAATACTGAAATACCCAGACTATGTTGATCGCCATTCACTAGTATCCGGTGCTATTTTTGAATTATCAAGGAGTTTGAGGATTTTCCCGCTCAAAATTTCATTTGTGGTAATTGATTAACTTAAAGCTTCACTCTTGAGGTCAAAGTGTAAAATCACAGTAAAAATATTTTACGGAGTTTAATTTGTAAAAATATTTAATGTTTGAGAACTCTACCGGTGGTAGTAACATCACAGTTCGATAATTAAATATGGATCTTTGGAGACCCTTCTGGGTCAGCTTACATTTTGGTTTTCATACCAAATTCTTTATTTTTATTTTATTTATTATAATTCTTTATAATAATTTGTTTGGGCTTTTGTTGAATGAATGAAATTGAAATTCATTATGAACGGCGGATCCAGAAACGATCCGTAGGGATCCACCATTGCCATTAGTATTGTGAGGTTAATCTGTTGGTATTTTGTAGATTAAAAACCGAGTAAATCGAAGAAATCGAGCTTCTTTATACTGACGGAATAAGGGCTGCAAAGAGCAAGGCAAAAAAAATTCGAAAATTACCAGAAAAATGGGTATATTGAAGAAATCATAATTGACAGGAAAAATTTGAGCGGTGCCAATATCGCTGCATGCAAGACAAGAGCGCTGTTGTTTCGGATGGGTTCCAAATTGAAACGGGTTTCCTCCAATTTTAGTCAAAGATATAAAAATAAAAAATAATTGTTTTGTATTTCATTAAATAAATATATTTCAGACTTGTTCCGGATCTTTAAGCTACATTATTCTCTTTATTGAAAATGATTTTACAGCAATTGAAAAAGTTTTTATTGTTATATTCTTTGCAGTATTTCATTGTCATTGCCATCCTTATTGCTGTCGCACAAGCGGTACCAATCGAATTGGGTCATTACGGAGCGCCGATATTAGCTCATGCCCCAGTACTGGCACATGCCGTGCATGCTGAGCCTGTGGTATGTTTGAAAAAAGAATACATGGAAATAGAAAAGAGAATAGAAAATATATACAAAATCTAATATACATATTACGTAGCCAATTTAATTACCATTCCAAGCTGGACTCATTAACTCCCTTCACTTTATATTTACAGGCTTACCCAAAATACTCATTCAATTATGGCATTAAGGATCCACACACCGGCGACATTAAATCACAAGCCGAGGAACGTGACGGCGATGTAGTCAAGGGCCAATATTCACTAGTCGAACCTGATGGCTCAGTGCGTACTGTCGACTACACTGCTGACGATCATAATGGTTTCAACGCCGTCGTACACAAGACCGCACCTAAAGTTGCGATCGCTCATGCACCAGTGCTGGCACACGCCCCCATTCTGGCACATGCACCCGCACCACTGCTGCACCATTATTAAATGAGCGAATGATTTGGCGAGAGAGCGAAAGGCACTTAGGTTGGCAGTTGTAGGAAATTGAGGTCGTTTTGCATTTGAGAAAACTTTGAACTGATTAACGAAAGCTGGCCGTGACATACACGTGGTATAAACGATCTTACAGTTGAGCTGCTAACCGTGCTTCCCTCGTTACTCAGCCTTGTACAACTCTTGCACACACATACAATTTCTCATTCAAATACTCATTGACTCACTCAAATAAGCATACTCATTGCTACATACGTGTATAAGCGAGTTTATTGCATTTAACAAATAATTAAAACGTTTAGCGATTTAAGTTCAACGAATTGACGACGGTCGCCAATCAATCAGCAAACAAGGATTCATTCAGAAGCGAGGAAGATGAAAGAAAAGAAGAAAATAGATTTAAAGCCAGGATTAAAAGAAAAAAGTGGAAAATGTATTTACTCTCTCTCACTCACTCACTCACTCACTCTTTGTATGTACTCGTAGTTTAACACAAGTTTATCGTTTATCGTAAAAACTTTATTTTTTTAACAATTAATGATGAAGTAAAACAATATGAAGAAGAAATGGAGTAGCTGTAGTAATAGTAGACGAAAATGGAGATCATCGTTCATATTATGTAATGTAGGATCGTACTTTCACATCTCCCATACACACACTTACTCTATTCAACATTTCTTTCACACTTTGCCAAGTGCTTTTATTGCTCCCTTATATTTTCTAAAATCTAAAGATTTTCGTTCCGATAAGAGATTGAGGTGTAAGGACACGCTCTGAGTTTCCTAAAATATTTAAAGTCAAAATGACATTTTCCATTTGATAAAAAACGTACACTGTCCCTCGTGAATACTTAGAAACGTTTCTTATGACTTTAACTCAACTTTTGTAAAATATTTATAAACTCTATTGCTTCAATCTAGTTCTCATCGTTTCAACATTGTAGGATGTTTCAATTGGAAAATGGCAGCAAGGACATTAAATTCGCTTGATATTTTATAAGGAATTTGCCTAGATAGTGCCATCAGCTTTTGAGTGCATAGATGACTGGGCAACGATTTTCTAAGTAAATTTTATCTCTCTTCTCCTCATGCAACTAAAAAACGTGCACTTATCTCTTACAGTAATGAACTCCACACATCGCTTTCATTTAGAGAAAAAATGTTTTCGAATAGTAATTCATTGCCAATATCAATATTGAGCCGGTCATTGTGCATTAAAATTAATAATAACTCTTGAAAATATAAAGTACTCTCATTCTCATTGTGTGTATTCCCCTCATTCTATATTTATCTCTCTTGATTCTGGTCATCCCGACTCTTAACCTACATCTTGTCATTTGCATTTAGTAAACGTATCTTTAGCTTATACTCTCTTACAAACAAATTTTATTTGCTATTTATTGATATTTTCATAAACACAAAAATTTTACAACATTTTAAATCATTTACTTTTGTGTGTCCCGTTTTCGTTCATTTATGAATAGCCTCTTTTATTCAAATAGTCTCTTAAGACTTTTTAATTTCTTTTGACTATCTTACTTGTCTCTCTCACTCTCAACTTCTCTTTCAAACTCTATTTCTCTTTGTGTAATTCATAATCGCTCTTCTTTGTATCATATCATAATGTGTTTTTTACGTATTTTGTATTTTAATTGTGTTTTATTGCCTTAAATTTAATTATAAACATTTATGAAGAAAGAAAACCAACACACATTTTACTTTACATACACACATACATATGTATATTATTGAATTTGTATACATTTGCATGAGTATTTGTGAAAGCTTCGAGGTTAGCCTTTGTTGGCCTACAAGAGTTTTCCAACTCCACATTGCATGATTGTGCTGTACCTATGATAGTTTTTTGTTTTTTTTTTTAAGATTTAATGTAAAAATATATATTTTCAAATAACGGCAAAGAAAAAGGAAAAAAGTGTTTATGTAAAAGCTGCATTTATACATAACAAAAATAAAATCATATACAAATATGAAATGTATGAGAAAAAAAAAACAAAAACAAAATAAAAACTCTGTTTAAAAACTTAAAAACTTTGAAATTATAATTTAAACGTCTCTCAACTGTGCTTACTCTTACCCATCCGGATTGCATCACTTGCCCAGAGAATTCAAAATCTCATGCAAGACCTTTCTCAAAAAAAAAAAAACTACCTATTACTCAATTGTTGTCAACGTCTAAGCGATTTGGATTGCAGATGCTGATGCTGGAGTTGCAAACGGGTGCCCCTTTGGTTCTGAGTGCGTGGGGCTAAACTAAATTCCCACTCTTTCATCCTTGTCCCGTACCGTTACCGTATTGGTACTGTGAAAAATCGATGCAAAAAATGTCGTAACTAATGTCTGTGGAGAGAGCGTCATTGTAGTCACTCGGGATCATCTGGCTGAAGGGTCTACTGAGCTGTCATTGGACGGTTTTGTACACCAGATAAGCGACAGCGTGGGGGTGGAAATAATGCTGCTTGATGTACAAATCGGACAATCGGACTTCATTTGATAGTTTCATTTGCTTTTGGTAGCTTTATTGGCAAGCAGAAGGTTTTGGTAGGAAAAATTTTTGTCTTATGTACCTCGTGTGCTGATGAGACCCGAATCTATCGCATAGATGGCGCTGGTTTTTCAATTAGTACTAACATTCCGAAGGAAGCTCTAAGATTTTGATGATATTCTAAATACTACAAGTTTGTTCTCAGCAACATCCTTTTGGTCCTAACCAAATTAGCGTTTTAATTTTACACTTCGCTCTATGGACAAAATAGCATTCAAGTGAAATGGTGATTTGAGAAGACCTATATTATCCCCATCAGAAACAATAACAATAGTTGACTTCAAATGTGGTCGAACTAATGATCATTAACCAGAGAATAAAAAAAGCTCACAAGACCGCTTTGAATGTGGGGAGAAGAAATTTTATACATTTCTATACTGCTGCCCAGTAGGCCAGTGAAGTTGATCTCCACCTAACGACATAGCAACTTAAAAAAAAATTTATATTAATTGCCCGCGCATATAAATCTGAGCTTACTAATTATTTAATTACTTTATTTATTACTGTAAATTGTGTGGTTACATTGTTTGCAGACTCACACACATGCGCACGTATGCATGTAACCATTTGTGTAAACAACCATATGCTGAAATTAGAGCTCATTTAGTTAACACTTTTAGTTTTAACTGTTAATTAGATGTAAAACGTGTAAAAATTGCAAGAGAACTCAAAGCAGCTTGGCGGTGTCGGAGCTGACGAATTTCAATGAGTAAAACAATTTGAGCCTCCGCCGCTAATTGTCGCCGGTTTTCGCCACTCACCCACCTGCATTGGACAAGGCAAATGAAGAAAGCGAAACGAAACGAAAAGGCAACAAATTAAAAAGTAAAAAAGAATAATTTTACGTATTGAGTCATTTACGAAGCGTCGTCTAACATTCTTCAATTGGACCCTCTTCTTTTTTTTTGCATTAGAAGTGAAGCAGAATTTGATGTTTGAAGTTCTGAGCGTTCAGTTCGAGTTGTTTCATCGCCGTGTGCGAAAGCAGCCTTTGCGTGTCCAAGCAATATTTCTTCACTTCAACAGAACCGATCGAAGGCGCGTAACATTTTTCTAATGTGAAGTCTATTCCGCTGTGCTCTTTGCTTTTGAAATCCATTAGTATTCGTAGAATGTCCGTCAGTGAACTTAACAAGTGCGTGTGCGTCAGTTCGGTTGGTGTTGTTGCTGTTGTAAGTATTTTTGAAAATGAAAATGATTGTACACGTACATAAAGTTAAGCAGTTTGAGTTCTGCAAAAGTCAATGGCTATAACGAAAGAAATTGTTTTCCCACAAATTATATTACATAAGCCTTTGAAAATAAGAACAAAATATGCAAAATTTGCTTCAAAAGATCGAAGGCCACCTTTTATTGATTTTTGTTTAAGAAAGCAGGGTTTGAGGAAGGAACATAAGGAAGGTCTTAACACTACCTGTCGATTTCCTTCATTTGCAATTTGGTCACCTGGTAAAGGTTTGTACACAACTTGCCCTGGGTTACAGGGACCGCTATGGCCTCAGCCTAAAACCAACCCATGTGGCAGCCGTTGAAGGTACGCACATAGTTTGCTATACAAATATTTCTTTTAAAACCTTCATCTTGAACGATTTTAAGGCCTTTTCGGCTAAGTACGCATATCTAAGCTACTGAATACATACTTTCTGTCCTTCACCAGATTTCTGTTGTGAACGCCGGGGGTTCTGTTGTAATCCTTTAACTCCCTACTGAAAATAACAGCTATGTATCTACCGCCATGTTGAAGTCTCTATACCTTTAAAGTTTCTATCAAAATTATAGTATTTCATTTTTGCATTGAATAGAAGTTCTCATATCCGAAGAATTGGTAAGAAGGGGCTTAAAAAAATATAAAATTAAGTAAATTCTTCTAATTATGTTGCCCCTCGGCAGTGCACCTAAAGCCTTTCGAGTGTATTTTTGACATAAAAAAGTGATGATCGTTACCAGTCACGAAGTATCGGTGCCTCTATGTGGCAAGTTTGGTTGTAATTTCTCAAAAACTGAGGTTTACTAGTTTGCATACAAAACAGGCGGGCAGACGGACATAGGGAAATCAGCTCAATTCGTCGTTCTGATCAGATCGGTATAAATTTGATGGTTATTTCTCTCATCCTTTCTTATATTCTTCGCACCAAATAGAGTATAAATAAATATAATTAAAGTAAATGCCTTTCTTTAAAAAGGACCTCAATACGTTGGAGGAGCGGTTCTTTATGTAGACACCGTTGTATACCACTAGAGCTACTTATGCATGTTTACTCCCATTTTTAGAGCTGCTCTGGCTGGTAATGATATTAAGAAAGTTTCTCCAAAATCTTAATTATGATTTAAAACTAAGATTAATTCAAGGATAATTGTTATTAAAGTTTCATCAAAGTTCATCTTTTCATCTACGAACCTATTCACGCAAAAGTTCAGCACTGAAATCAAATGTACTTACTACGAAATTATTTCCAGCTTTTTGTACTGTGCCTAAAATCACACTACAGCGAAGCAGTCACCACAACGAATCGCAGCTTTGCTTACGCCAAGGCGCAGGCTATAAAGAAAGCTGGCGGCAGTCCAGGTACAAGCTCGTATTTTAGACGCGACCCCTATGGTAAGTAAATATATGCCAGAACTTAGCTTTCGTAAAAGAAAACAGTGGTGTCCGATGTACGACATTTACCCTCTTCTTGTCTCTTTCTGCTTTACTTAGGTCCAAATACATATGCTTTTGGCTTTGAAGTGAGCGACAATCGTACTGGCAATATACAATTCCGCGACGAACGGCGTTACGTGAATGGCAGTGTCGAAGGCTCGTTTGGGCATGTCCGACCGGATGGACGTGTGATTGTGACACACTTTTTGTCAGACAACGAGCGAGGCTTCCTGCATGAAACGCGCACCTTCGAGGCAGGCGACACTCAGCGCTGGCAGGCACATTGGCCTACGAAGAGGCCAGTTATACTCTTGCAACATCCGCAGGGTATGCCAATAGGTGCAGTGATTTATGACAAGAATTTGCATTTGAATGTGACCAGCAGTAAGGTCCCGGAGCATTTGGCAAATGCGATCAAAGACCAACATGGAATCGAAGTTGCGAATGCGAGCGCTTTTGTTGGCGATGATTTTGGGAATCCACTCATACAGGGCATTATCCACGGTGAAGTACCGTTGGAGGTCGTGCCAGGGAAAACGGATGATCACATAGGTTTTGAATCGGTGCATGACTATTTGCCTTCGGATTTCACAATTGTACCCTTTGAATTGCCACCAACGTTGAGCACCGCGACTGTGCCAGCTAAAGGCGCTAATCAAACAAAAATTATAGCGGAGAAGCAGAAGAAGGAGAACAAGTACAATGAAGCCAAAGCAAATAATGCGGAAAAATCCTTGAAAGTGGAAAGGCTTGAGAACAGCACTTTAGCTGCAAATAATACCAAGTTGAAGGTGGAGCCAAAAGTGGAAGTTGTCAGAATCAAATCTAAATCTAATCCAACGAATCAAACTTTGCCGTTGAACGCCGGCCCGAATGGTACTTGGTATTGGCAACTTATTGACCAGACAAGAAATGATTTTTTGAATAATCTGCCCGATAAACCGGAGAAGTAACACAAAGAGGGACATGAAAAATGCAATAAACAGTTTCTAGTTCTCTTAAGACATTTTCACTCTTTAATATTGAAATTAGACATAAGTTTAATGCACGTAAAATACAAAATTTATGAATTTTACGGTATCCACTTTTAACGTATAATAGTTCGATGAGAAGGGGGCTGATTTTTTAAGGGTCACACCCTAGTATAATGACCCAAAAAAGGTGATTTTTGGGAATTTTTATTAAAAAAAAAAATACTTCATCAATTATTTCAAAATTTTAAGAATATATTTATACATGTTTCAAGAATGCCCAGTGAAATTTTTGAGGAAAAAAATTAAATATTTTTTACGTTATAGTCGAACTCCAACGGCGCGAAAAAAGGTCCTTCACTGCTGCAGTAATTCCGGCCTTCTCCATGCATCATAGATGAATTCTAAAAAAAAAATTCTCGTTAAACTACCAAATATTGTCTGTACACCGACCTACGATTAAAAAAAAATAAAAAAATTGAAAATATGGCGGTGTTTTAAAAAAGAATGTCGATTTTTACGCAAAATTTTGGTCATTTTTGGCCTGCCAAAATTTGATTTTTTGATCAGATCAAAAATCGATCACTGCAGAAAATTCGGAAAATGCTGTTTCGAGAAAAACGCGTTTAAAGATAAAGTGATCGTTTTCACTCGTAGCTAATGAGACTCTCTAGCTGAAGAGCGGCTGCTCTCTAAATTGCTATAAATCAAAAAATATTTGAGATATCGATTTGAAATTTTAATAAAAAAAGATCGATTTTATTGTAATTTCACACTAGGTGTGCCCCTTAATTACGTTCTCCTAACCAGATCAGATCTTATAATTTAAAAAAATTAACAGGTTCACCTCACTCGAAAGGATGGACTTGTTCATAAGAACTTTGTTTGTTTTAGGTTACCAGCTAAATGCGTTGGTTCCTATTGCGGACGGAAGAGCTATTTAACGTGACCACCAGCGCTCTTAGAAACAGGCGCCCGCTAACTGAAGATATTCCTATATAAATATCTTAACCGCTTATTAATTTCATAAATGTACTCGCAATTACTGTTTCGACTGAATGAAAGCTTCAACACAGTTATCTTCAAATCAAATTGAGCTGAAAATTGTTTGAATATTTAACGAAAAGCCATAATGATGAAAACATTACAGAAATAAATCGAATGATTTTGTATTATAAATTCATACATTAATGGCAATTGTAAACACACACACACACGCATACATACGTGCTATTGACTGGTACGATTTATTTCCTTCCGCCACTGAATTGGTGAAAATGATAATGAGAAATATTTTTTATGGAAATGTGAGAATGGGGCATAAATTAAATTAACTAAATGAATGAAAAGGAAAGCGACGATAATATTAAGAGGAGTAAGAGTGCGTGATTGATTTTCCCGTTGTAAGGCCGTGCATGTGAATCGCTTTATATGTATTTTATAAACAATGTTCAGTGGACTATATATGCACACAGGAAAAGAAAAACACAGATTTAAATGGAGAAGAAAAGCCAAAGAAAAATCCACAAATAATTAAAATTCAAAACAAAGCAGAATGTGTATTTTGTAGAGCAAAAGAGGTGGATCGTTGGACGGTTAGGTTAGAGCAGAGTTTCCGAGTGTGACTGCCTCCATAAAATTAGTGTTGGATTAAATACGGTATCCTGTTGAAAGCGAGATGGTCAATACAGGGATGATCATGAAATTTTTCTGTTAATGTAGGTCATATGCCTTATTGTATTGTAAATAAAACAACTTAGAAAGACGTTTGGATTCAAAATCCAAGTGGATAGATCACACCAACAACAGCCATTGTGCTGTGTCCAAATTTTCAATTACATAAATGGTAATGTTAAAGTGTTGAAAAGCGGTTTTTAAACCACTGAATGTGTGTAAATGTGTCACCACCCACCGCCAAAAACAGGAGTAGTGAGCTCATACATACAAACATACGCACCGTTCATAGAGAATGGCAGGGGAATGTGGGGGCCTGTCTTTGTAACCACTTGCATACAAAAATATGGAGCAAGCAGCTGTTCGAAGCCGTTTAATTGCAGCATTCGAAACACATTCACATATATGGTATCTGCGGAAAGCAATCAAAAGTGCAAGAAATGCATAAATGGTGCACAAGAAATTATTAGAAGCTCAGTCTGGGCGCACTCGACTAATGGTGGACTATTAAAAGCTATTACCGTTTAACGTTTGCCGGGTAACAACGCAACCAGCTCTGATGTATGTAAATACACGTATGTACAGAAGAGTGTACGCGTATATTACTGCACGGTGCACATACATACATATATATATTTGGATATGTTTGGTGGTCTTGCTGTTGCTGGCGCCGCATCACTTTAGTCACTGTGGCGCATGTGTGGCATGCTACGGTGCAATCACCCGGAAGATATTCCAAATATTTCACCTGCTTCACACAATTGTTGCCCGAGCTGCTTCACTTAGCTGTCTGTTGTTGCTGCTTTTGTTGTTATCGTATTTTTACTGCTCCTCCGGCTGACTTGTTGCAGCTACAATTGGCCATTGTAGCCAAACAATAGCTCTTGTTGTGGTTTCTTTTACTCCATATAATAATTTCTATTGCCGCTTTGTTGTTATTGTTGTTAAATTTCTTGCTACGTTTGCTGTTTGAGGTGGCGTTGGCGGCTCGCTGGCTTCTTGTATGAGCGATTTTCTTTTGCAATTTTTATGCGCGAATTTTTTTGCGTTGTGTTTTGCAATAGGCAATCGCGTGAAAATAAAATAAAAAAGCTGAAAATAGTAACGCAATAAATTTTTTGAGAAAGAGCGCAAATAAAAGCATTGGCATGCCGGGGAATATGTTGCATTTAAATATTTACATTCACACTTTTGTGGAAGCTCCTGTTGGTTGTTATTGGATTGTTGTGTAAAGAAAATGATTAAAATTACTTATTTAACACTTTTGTTGTCTGTTTCATTATTGAATCGTCTATGCAAACTTACAGCGAAATTAAATAAATAAAAGGAAATAATGCGAGGCTTGATGTGGGTAAATGCAATGCTTTGTGGGCACAGACATGTTTTGGTTAAAAAATGTTTCTTGTTGGTTTTGCAAGCCCACCCAATGCATTTAATGACGTAGTTTTCAGAGCGAGACTTTTGCCCAAACCTTATCAACTTCTTTCATAGGCAATCCAGTGACAATACTTAGAGACATTTGCCATGCTAAATGCCTCCACCCACTTCGAGACGTGCCTAATTAAGTCATTTCCGTCAAAGACGTTATGCCAAACTGTCTCGCCGCCAAAGTCATTAAACAATTCAATTTTTCATATAGTTTTGTGCTTTCGCCAAAAAGTTATTTAAACACATGTGCAACTCATTTGCCTTAACGCATAAAATAGTGCATTGGCTGTCTTATCAATTATATTATTTTATATTGCCCTGCTCTTGGCAGTGGGCCAATTTATACGCAGCTGCTAAGCTATTGTGATTTATTATTTTAATTTATTGTATTTTAATTTTTATTACATTGTATTTATATTTTTCCGCTTTTACCAATGATATTTTCAAAGGCTTGCTGATATGTAAATATTCTTTCATATAAAGATGATATCCAGATATAGTTATCTGATCCATTCCAAAATGCGCTTGTCCATTGTTTCGCGATGGATCACGTGAACCGCTCCTGTCTTAACCCGACAGTAGGAAAATCACTTTTAGCTACATTCCACATGTTTCTCTTTCATTATCCTATATTCGTGAAACAAATTTCCATTCTAGGTCTAGGTGTTAATTCTAACCGCACCAGTGCAGATCACATTAACTCCGTGATGGGATAAAAAATTAACCCTTTAAGAAATTTAAGCCTTCTTCCTTTTTAAACTATTTATTTCGTAAATCTTAGCGTTTTATGACCCTGCTTTAAATTGTCAACTCCTCTAGATTGGGCTTTGCCAATGCTGTTAGAAGTTGGATCACTCTACCCTATATTCTGAGAAGAAACTTCAAAAATACTCTTAGTAATTATTTTTCTAAAAATTAACAAACCATCCATATATATTTAAGAATACTTTCGAATATTTATATAAAATAAAGTGATGTAAGTAGCATCGACGCTTCTAACCAATGCGAATTGAATGAAAAATCCGAAAAGCCAATCAGCGACACACCTATTTGAAAAAGTTGAGTGGACCAGAGTGTTTGCTATTTCAAAAAAAATTCTGGAAATATTCCAAGTCTTGATAACGATATTTTTGAAAAAAAAAATGTTATATGTTTATGGTTCAGTTCGGTTGAATTCTTGTATGAATCTTTATGTCTATGACTATATAAATCTTTGGTTTGTTATCTTGTTTTAAGAGTACTCACACACACTCTTACTTCTGTTTTTATCATCAATATAATTGCAAACAGCATATTTATTTTACATAAATATACCGGAATCGACGTAGATCAACACGACGAAAACTCTATTTCCGAAAGGAAGACTTTTAGAAGCGAACGTTAGGTAAAATTAGCTCAGACGCTTCAATGCACTTATGTTTTCTACATAAAAAACTAATAATTAGAATTTTGCATTATTCTTTATCTATCACCTCTTTTATAATACCAATCATAAAATCTAAATTGAAAAATTTGCATAAAGAAACAGCAACGAGTGGCTGGGGTCTTTCAGTAATAATTAAATAAATAAATCAACTGGATGTTTTATGTTTTTGTGTTATAAATTCACATTTTTTAAATTTGACTTGTTTTTAAAGTCTATTTTTTACTTTATTTAGTTTAATAATAATAAAAGTTTTCATTATGTAAAAACGAAAGAAAATAAATGAAAGCCAAATTATGCTGAGAGTAAGCCATAAAATAGGATTCGCATATAATTCTTACTTCGAATATTTGCTTTACATTAGGCGCATTCCATTCGCACAAGCGAGATAATTGTTTACTGCTTTCGTTTAGATATTCCAAGTGCTTGCAAGGCTTGTGTTTTGGCTGCATGTCATTTGTTTGCGATGGATGGCTTTGACGAAACTTCCTTGCTGTCTTAGCGGATAAGCTGTTAAAGTGATACCCATGGGCTGAGCTAAATGAGTTGCGATCAGCTGAGACGCCGTAAGTACAACAA